GTTTGTATTCAATAAACGTCAAAACGGCTGAACCGATCGGACCCAAATTTTTGTGGGATCTCGCGTTACCCCAGGGAAGGTTTATGAATGATGAAAATTAAAAAAAATTGAGTTGAAAAGCTTTTTATTTTTGTAAACATTTTTAAAATCTCGAAAATCCGCAACTCTTTTTTTTTATAAAATCCGCGAAATTTTTTTTCTTTGTTTTTCAATGTTACATTAAGAACATGTTCACAATTACCCACGAGAGTTTTATTTTTTCGTGACAAGAAAACCTTGACAGAGATTATTTCTCTACTTTAACTGCCATGCTTAGCTCTACTTGAATTCGTATGATTTGTACAATAACACCTTATTGTTTGTATTTTTTATTTTAAAATTGTTTATTTTGCTGCACTCAGTAATTTGATTTCATAGAGTCATGAATATAAAATTAAAGGCTCACTTGAAGGGCTTCCGTTATGTATCAAATAAATTCATATTTTTACTTGTTCAATGTCACATTTATATTCATTTTTATTTATTTATTACAATGTAGATATAGATATATTAGTTAGGGGTCCATGGTTAAAAGTCAGTGCGGTCTTAATTTTGGAACCCATTTTTACCCATTTACTATTAAACACTTTTAAATCTCAAGGTATATTTTACGATATTTTCGACGGATTTTAAATAGAGATCAAAAACTTTGTTGTAGTTTTACTTGGTATAAAATGCCATAGCATGTAACAGGTGCGTACTGGAGGTTTACCCTTGGGGGTGCATTTTTAGCGTGCGTAAGTGCGCCGAAAATTTGTTTTTAGTGCACCACCGTAACGGTTGATGTGCACATAAAAAACCGGTATTAAGAAAAAAATAAAGTTTAAAATCTATATTAATCTAATTAAGATTAATGTACAAGAAAGAATTTAAGAAATTATCATAAAATGGACAAATTGTGATATTATCAAATGATAAGAAAAGAAAAAAATCTGAATATATAAGTAAGTTTACTGTTTAATAAATTAGAGCCTGCCTCTGGCTCTAGGGGAGGGCCGGGGGGGTACATGTCTAGAGGGCACAGAGGTACCGGCCCCCCACTACGAGCCTGTGTGACAAATTATAGATATGTACCATATAAAAGATAGAGGAAATGAGTTTTTGGAACAAAATCATATATTTAAACCTCCATATCTTTAGATATCGATGTTGTAAACCTTTGATATTTCAAACTCAGATTATTTGATCTAACAGAATTCATAGTTTGAAATATCTAAGGTCTTCAACATTTGGTTCTAAAGATATAGTGATTAGGAAATCAGAGTTTGTGGCAAAGATTCCTTTGTATAAACATAAATCATAATAAATAATAATAAATCATATAAAGGAAAAATGAAAGGGGGTATAGGCTGAAAGCTAATCACTTTAGCTCTCGATCACAACCCATGAAAGTTATATCTGATGTTCCTATCTCGAGAAACTGATTTACAACTTTGTCAAATTTATACGAAAATGAATATATATACAATTTTGTATAAAAGTAGTGGGTTTAAAAAGATCAAATTCAGCAAATATGCAACCAATATAAAAACGATGATATCCCAGAGAAAGCTAATTGTAACTTAGGTTTACTCCAATTCTAATTTTATATTTGTTATTACTATTTTTTATAGATTTAATTCATAATATTATTTATACGTCCGTATTGCTTGACCAGAAATTCCACCAATGACAGTGCAGTAAAGTGGTCACGTGATACAGGCGGAGACACGTGACCAGTATACTGCTCTGCCATTGGTGATAGTTCTGGCCATGTGATTTAAGTTTAAGATTTTCTAAATTTTACATATATGAACTTTCGTATAATATTAATTTTAACACAGTTTTATATCAATTTCTCGAGACATGAACATCAGATAAAACTTTCATGGGTCGCGATCAAGAGCTAAAGTGATTAGCTTTCAGCCTATACCCCCTTTCATTTTACCTTTACAGTCCCTTTAAATATGTGAATATAATGCTTAATGTTTTATCTATAGATGGGTATCCTCTCTCGCACAGCTAACTACAAACGAAATGCATCTTGTCTGTCTTGGAATATTTTTAATCATATTTTAATATCTCATTCAAGATTTGTCAAAAATAGCGTGAAAGACACTATTAATACGGATAAACAGGGCGTCCCACATCAATTGATCGTTATTGGCGCTAAAATCGATTTTCGGAACTAATCAGTAAGTTGAAGAAGAATGAAACATTTTATGAAATTGTATAAGGCCAATATTAAAATTTGCTTCCAGAAATAACTAGGTTTTTCTAGTGATGAGTGTGTATTTTGGCGTTGAAGCTTGGCCGGAGATAATCCAATATGATATGGAACGCGATCTGTATTAAAACTACAAAGCCTGAAAAAAGTATAAACTATCAAATAAAAATGTACATTGGATGGGTAAAAATTGGTGCTAAAACTGGACCACAAGTTTAGGGTTCCCTGTATGGAACAATTAATTAAAGTGCTCTGCAAAAAGAAAGCCAGCGTGGGTTAAATCTGAAAGAAATGTATCGAAAGAAAAGATTTATCTATTTCAGTTTTATCCAGTTTTCAATCCAAAGTACAGAGGGGAGCAATAGAATTTAAGATAATGGAACAATCGTCATATTTGTATTTTTAAAATGATTAAGATGTAATTAAAATTTAAACAATTAAAGTATATTATAGTATCGAAATGTTTGGTGATGCATTATGTTGTATGCAACTTCTTGACTGTAAATTACAGTTCATTTCAAGTACCGAATCGACTTTTAACCAGATAGGCCAGCCAGGTTACCCACAAAAAATAAGACTTGGGTCTTTCTGAAAGAATTCAATAATTTGAAAAAATTCTAAAATTCTAGTTTTTAACGCCCTGTCCTATATCCTATATATATATATATATGATATTAGTCCTGCATAGTGTTGTGCTATAAATTTATAGTCTTTCAATGGTCACCTAAAATATTTGCAAAGAAAAAAATAACTTTACATTTGATGGGGAGCTGAAATGTAAGATACAAGATCGAATAATTTCCGTTCAATCGTCTTTGCAAGTCTCATCCATTGTGAGTAACCCTGTATTTGAAGAAAGCTAGGACTGAACACTAAACAGGGCGGATTAAGCCTTAAATTCCGTCTCAGTAAAACCTAGGATTGAATTTAGATTAGAAGCTGCTAAAAGTAGAGATGGGTTTTGTTTTTTTATTAGTTTTTAATTATTTCAATCATTTTTAGCTTTGAAGAGCCTTCACAAAAAATCTAAAATATGTTCATCATAAAATTGTATGCTTTGAGCTGAAAGCTCTCGTATTGGATAACCTTAATCCACTTTCTATACTTTTGATGTTATGCTCAATCCTCTTCTTTTCTGCTAAATTGCAACCAATTAGCGTTCTCTCATTGGAAGCGCGCGCAAAATTTTGAAATTTCTCGACTTTTGATTTGTTGTTCGACTTCTGCATCCTTGCTCTGACTTGTTAAAATTCGATACACTTTACAATTTTTAGAATATAAAGAAAGTGTTTTTAAAAGAAACAAAAGAACAAAAAACGATGCTCATCTCTAAAAATGAAGCTAAAACAGGCTTATACAAATTCCAATAGAGTTTCCACATTCTAAACCGGGTTTGCATACATATTGCAGAATTATACACAGCTTAAAACAACCAATTAGCGACACTGCAAATGAAAACATTGCAAAATTGCGGATATAGCACTGAAAAAAAAGGAATTACAAAAACTATTTCTTCAAACTTTGAAAAGATATACAGGGTTTTCCACAAAGGATGAGACTGTAGAGAAATTGTCTCAATCTAGTATGCCGAGTCAATTAGCGCCTGATCCAGTCAGGGTTCAGCCATGTGTTTGGTGTCTATTCTGAACCAGTAGAAATTGCATGGCGGTAAGATCTATCTTTCTATCTAGCTCATTATCCAATTAGAGATAAATCCTTATATCAGCGCTATAACAGTAAATGGAAATTTTTACTTCTACTCAAACTATAGTGGTCTGTTTTCTAAAATTCACGATTCCTTTCAACTAACTTTATACTTTTTGTATCAAATCATCAAATTACCAGAGTCCGAATTTAAAGAATTTTAGCCTCGGCTCAAATATGGTTGGTTCCACTTAAAATCGTATTAAATTTTAGATTTAAGTCGGCACTCAATTGAAACCGGTTTTTGAGGGATTTGAGACGCGGCTTAAATTCATTAAATTCGGACACAGATAAAATACGAATTTCGATTCAGAAGACTTAATCTAACCTTGGGATCGTCAACCTTTAAGTCGTCTTTGCACAGTCTCCTTCTTTGTGGGTAAAAAAGGAATAAAAAGATTTAAATTACTTGCAGAAATTAAACAAAAAAGAAACAAAAGCATTGAAAAAAAGGAATAAAAAGACTTAAATTACTTGCAGAAATTAAACAAAAAAGAAACAGAAGCATTGAAAAAGGGGAAATATATTCCTAAAAATGAAAGGAAGTGCGGTATAAAAATATATTTTGCCAAAAGCACAAAAAATCAGATTCAGACAAAGAAAAATTATTTGTTCCGGAGTTTTTTCTTTAAAATGCGCAAAACAAAAGCAAAAGGCTCATAGTAAAGAGTCAAGGATAATCAGGGTTACCCACATAGGATGAGACTTTAAGGAAGACTTAAAACCTATTAAACATGAAGATCTAAAGGTTGAACTATATAGAAAATGTAGGCGTCTGCACTTAATGTAATCTTAGAATGGAATATCTAATGGTTTTGCAAAGAAAGAAACAAGTTTACAGCAACAGGAATCTATGAACACACGAAATAGGGGAGGGGAAGTAATTCCGTTCAGTCTTCTCTCAAGTCTCATCCTGTGTGGATAACTCTGTAATATCTATATCATCTTAGATTGTAAAGAAATGGTTTGACATTCCAGGAAGATTTCTCCGAACCAGTTCCTCCTCCTCCACCCTCTCCTCTCTCTTANTAAACAACCCAAACTGTCTGTCACAGGGTTTAGGTCAGTGTGAATCTGCAGGTATACTGTTTAACAGTACAGCTGTCCTGAAACCCGGAGCAAAACAGAGAATACTAAACCTTCTAACTTATTTGTTCTTGTGTCCTAAATATGACTCAAAAGTGACTCAATGTATTTAAAAGAAAAGTAACTCTAAGAAGTGACTCTTTTTTAGAGAAATGCGTAGAGTGGTGAATATTTTTAGATCCTTGCAAAAATATTCAAGTTCTAGATGATAACAACTAACTTCTAGAAAACCCAACTGTAAAATCTAGACTTTTGAAGAAGAAAAACAGTGAGCTAGAAACAATGCATACCCCGAGAATTGATCATGATGAAACATTTTTTAATCTCAAAACTCTAACAATTCGGTAAGAAATGGAAGCTCAAAGGGACTATTTGTGTAATTTCAAGTAACCCTCCAATTCACCTGCGGGATTCACAACGGTATCACTAGGGGCGTACGAGGGGGGGGGGGAGGTTCAGCCTCTGGGTATCACGGTATTTAAGTAGCAATAATCATCGTTTTTTATTTCTTTAGCCTAAACAGAACCCTAACACAAATATTCACCTCTCTTTCATATTCATTTTACTTTTGACGTATCATTCGCTGCATAAGTATAAAGTTTTCTGGGACCTGGATCAGACAGACAGATATTGAGCTCTCCGGGTAAAATCCACTGTAAATCCTTGAATTCATTAATGTGTTTTTAGGATATGTACAAGTGCCTAGTGAACTATTCGTTTATTTAAATCCGCAAATCAATTCTAGAGAATAATCCCATTACGTGGATAGTCCGGCCCTTATATAATTTTTTTAGACGTTTATTTTTCTGTGTTGTAGACGGACCCCGGAGCATAATCCTGGATACTTGATGAATCCTGAAACCTTGTCATATCTAGGAGATATTGGAGACAATACAAGTCCTAATCATGGTATTCTCAGTCGGGCATCGTCTATGGTAATTCTTAATGTTTTTACCTGTAAGTAAATTTTCCTCACTGGCACTTTGTGTTATGATATGTTATATTAAAATCAGCAAAGGTCACTGTCATGTTCCCGTTCTTGAATTGTTCATTTAAGTCACCCAGTAGTCCCTGGTCCCTTGTCATTAAGTGTCCCTGGTCCTTTGTTGTCCAGTGTCCCTGGTCCTTTGTTGTCCAGCCTCCCTGGTCCTTTGTTGTCCAGTATCCGTCGTCCTATGTTGTCCAGTGTACCCGGTCCTTTGTTGTCCAGTGTCAATGGCCCTTTGTTGTCCAGTGTCCCTGGTCCTTTAGTGTCCAGTATCCCTGGTCCTATGCTGTTCCAGTGTCCCCGGTCCTTTGTTGTCCAGTGTCCCTGGTCCTTTGGTGTACAGTGTCACTGGTCCTTTGTTGTCCAGTGTCCCTTGTACTTTGTTGTACAGTGTCCCTGGTCCTTTGTTGTACATTGTCCCTGGTCCTTTGTTGTACAGTGTCCCTGGTCTTTTGTTGTCCACTGTCCCTGATCCTTTGTTGTTAGTGTCCCTGGTCCTTTGATGTACAGTGTCCCTGGTCCTTTGTTGTTCAGTGTCTCTGATCCTTTGTTGTCCAGTGTCCCTGGTCCTTTGTTGTCCAATGTCCCTAGTTCTCTGTTTCCCTGGTCCCTTATCACCCAGTGTCCCTGGTCCCGGTCTCCCTGGTCCCTGGCCACCCTGGTCCCCGGTCTCCCTGGTCCTCTATATCCCTGGTCCCCTATATCCCAGGTCACCTATATCCCTGGTCTCCCATATCCCTGGTCCGACTAAGTTTAAGATGAACAGGAGAAGTATAAATTTTCTTCTTCGTAGTTCCAGCCTGAAGCTGGCATTCAATATCCTCCCTCTCAGAGAATATATAAATTCTAACTTACACAAATACCTATTTAGAAACCCTTCAAGGAAATTTTTTTTTAAAAATTTCAAAACTCATTCTTTTCTTAGTGCATACAATGATTATGCAGGCTTGATGCTGAAACAAGGGATCTTACCTTATTTTATCTAACTTGGTGTTTTTCCCAAAAATTGTTAAAAACGTCGATATGTCTGCAAAAATATTTTATCCGTCTCGTCCTTCAAAAAGGAATACATATTTTAGACGATGTTAGGATCTACATTAAACCTAGTCCGGAGAAATATACGATCCATTCTTGGTTTACTCATGTTCTCCCTGAACTTGGTCCTACTTGGAGTTCTTTTCTCGACATCGCAGGAGGATATTTCAAGAAACTCAAGAATAATACACAACCTGGAGATTAGACTAGACAATATTACTGGTAAAATATACAACCTGGAGATTAGACTAGACAATATTACTGGTAAGAGATTAGACTAAGACAATATTACTGGTAAAATATACAACCTGGAGATTAAACTAGACAATATTACTGGTAAAATATACAACCTGGAGAAAAGACTAGACAATAATACTGGTAAAATATACAACCTGGAGATTAGACTAGACAATATTACTGGTAAAATATACAACCTGGAGAAAAGACTAGACAATATTGCTGGTAAAATATACAACCTTGAGACTAGACTAGACAATAATACTGGTAAAACATACAGTCTGGAGATTAGACTAGACAATATTACTGGTAAAATATACAACCTGGAGATTAGACTAGACAATATTACTGGTAAAATATACAACCTGGAGATTAAACTAGACAATATTACTGGTAAAATACACAACCTGGAGATAAGACTAGACAATATTACTAATAAAATATACAGTCTGGAGATTAGACTAGACAATATTACTGGTAAAATAAACATATTTCAACTTTTTTTGAAGAGTTAAAATTTTTTTTTCAAAAGGGAATGGGGGCCAGGTTTATGAAAATGTGCAAAAATTGGTAAAATAACATTTTGAATCAAATTGTCAACCAAAACCGAAAAATTTAGTGCACAATAAATGCACAATTCAATTATTTTTAAAAACTAAAATAAAGTAATAACATACAACCTCTTATGAAAAGGTTTCAGCCAAAACATTTGATTATTTTTTGTTTGTTTAAATTCCGGAATTATTTTTTTAAAACTAAAGTTAGGGAAAGACATTCAACCTTATTTGCAAAGGTTTTTAGAAAATTGATTATTGTTGCATTTTTAGGTTCCTGGGATCGGGAAGAAAGTTTGAGGACTGTTTTAGTAGATGTATCCTACCAACAAACCCAACTCAATAATCTCAGGTTGAAAAAGAAAAAAAAACATGTATTCTGTATATTATAATTTATCTATTTTATTGATCACTGAAATTTATATCTGTTAACACCCCAAATGCAGTACACAATTTTGAGTGTAGGAACGTACACAAAAAAAATCTTGCCAAAATTTACAATGAAACAGAAAATGTATATTCATGCCCTTAAATGTACTTTCAACCCCGATCCTATTTGGGATCAGAAATGGAATTATATGAACCTCTCTGAAATAGTTTAATTCAAAAATAACAGTTAATTAATTTTAATATTTATATACATAGATAAATAAATAAACATAGATAGGTTATGTACGCAAAGTTACCAAGAATTGTACAGTCCGCGAACTCATCCTTCTAGGGGTCAAAGTGTACTTCAATGATAAGCGGGTTGGTTTGGTGTTTTAATGGATTTCATAATAGAGTGTAAAATAACTCCGGGAATGGAACTATTTGAACAGCAATATTTCACTGAGTAATATACCATATTGACGAGAACTGAAGAATGACATGAGAAGGACTAAACTAACTTAAATTTCTCTCTACAGAACTCATGTACACCACAAGTACTCAATGACAGCCAATGTTCACAACCGACCTAGTTAATCTGTATAATAGGAATATCTTTAAAACATCTCTGTACATTTATATCTTTCAAGATGAAAAATGTCGTCTTATGCGCATTCTATCTTTATCTATTTTTATATACCCCTGTATCCAGGACCAGTTTGTCTGAGAAGGAAGTTGAGCTGGATGAGCTGAGGAACATGTTAAAGGAGGAGAAGATGATGCAAAACAAGACCCTTGACTCTCTCATCAGAGAGTCCGATATTCTACTCTGTAAAGGTTCAAAGGTGAACAAAATTTAATTAACATACTGGGGAATGGAATTGATTTCAGCTATAAGTTATTATCTTAGCGACCTGGAACCGAACTTAATGAAATTAAACTAGTTTGCTGAATTTGTGGTACAGTTTATCCCAGAACTTTGGAGTTATTAAAAGAATGTGTAAAATGTCGTCTTCTTAACATACTGATAATAGAATACTGCAGATATTTATTTTTTTAATTGAATAATTATATGGAGCTCTTTAAAACTGGTTCCGCATATTCCATGGCTCTTTATTTATTATTAATTTTACTTTTATACAATTATTAAATTTGTTAAAACCCATTGAAAAATTGTACAGACGACATTTAATAAATTCGTTCGTTGTTTCTGAAGTTCTGGGTTTAACTATACATAGACAAATCCTAAATCCCCGGCTCAAGGTACGTGGTTGAACCGTCTCTAGTCTAAACTTAAACCTCAAATTTATTAAACATGATGCCCAATGTTCTCATAGTAAATACTAAAAATATGAAAACTCAAAATTTAACCATCAGATTGCGAAGATCACTATGATCAGAAAATAATTAATTAAATAGAAAACTCATTTATCAAAACTGCTGTCATTTATTACTTTGTATAGTACTTAGATTTTTTCCTTCAAGGTACTGATTACTCGTCCTTCAAGGTACTGCCTTCTTTTCCTTTAAGGCACTGATTACTTTTCTTTCAAGTTACTGATTGCTTATCCTTTAAGGCACTGATTACTTGTCCTTCAAGTTACTGATTACTTATCCTTTAAGGTACTGATTACTCGTCCTTTAAGGCACTCATTACTTGTCCTTCAAGTTACTGATTACTCGTCCGTCAAGTTACTGATTACTTGTCCGTCAAGTTACTGATTACTTGTCCGTCAAGTTACTGATTACTTGTCCGTCAAGTTACTGATTACTTGTCCGTCAAGTTACTGATTACTTGTCCGTCAAGTTACTGATTACTTGTCCGTCAAGTTACTGATTACTTGTCCGTCAAGTTACTGATTACTTGTCCGTCAAGTTACTGATTACTTGTCCGTCAAGTTACTGATTACTTGTCCGTCAAGTTACTGATTACTTGTCCGTCAAGTTACTGATTACTTGTCCGTCAAGTTACTGATTACTTGTCCGTTAAGGTACTGATTACTTATCCTTTAAGGTACTGATTACTTATCCTTTAAGGTACTGATTACTTATCCTTTAAGGTACTGATTACTAATCCTTTAAGGTACTGATTACTTATCCTTTAAGGTACTGATTACTTATCCTTTAAGTTACTGATTACTTATTTTCTTGAAACCTGATGTCACAGACATTTGATATTTCAAGCTATGAATTCTATTAAATAGAAAGTATAAAAGGTTTACCCCATCAGATTGTAAAGATACAGGGATCAGTCTCTGTGGTTTTGTTAAAGATTAAATTGATTTAAAAACTTAACTTGTACTCTTAGAATGAACTCCGTGCTGTGGTGAGAGGTGTGTACCGAGTACAATTCCAGGCTAAAGTACACGGTGATACATACACCAACAGGGATGTACTTATTTCAAACATTTTTGAAAAGATTGTTGATGAAAATTGAAAAATTCGTTTCAAATATAATTTATTCGAAATACAAGACTTTAGAGGTCGAACTTAATGAATTTGGAGAAGTAGTTGAACTCGGTATGGTTAGCCGGTAGTTCAATTACTTACAATTTCTTAATTCGGACATTCTTCTGTCTTAAAACTTATAAGACATACATGAATTAATAAGGAAATAATTAACATAGAAAAATGTTTGAAATCCGAAAAAATTCCAAATTGTTGGAGGTTGGGGGTACACTCAGGTAATAAAAAATATTATTAAAAAAATATTTTTTGGTTTTAACGATTGTGTAAATAGGTATTTGATAATATGACAAAGATTCCTTAATAGAGTACAGATTTATAACAATAGTTCCGTTGATGAATCTTATATTCACGACAATAGTCCTGATGACAAAATACCAATTAAAAAAAATTCCCTTGTATCAGCACCTGACTGAGACCCTTCCCGGAGTCGGTCTGGGGATCCCACATTGGGGGTCTTTCACGATCTTTTTCATTTATTTATTTATAGGTTCCAAGCAAACAATAATGAAACAGTGGTTTGCAATAAGGATAACACAAGGAAATTAAATATATTCTGAAACGTGTAAAATAAAACCCCAGTCAAAAAGATACCAATTAATTTAAAAATCTAATTCTATAATTAAAATACTCTGTCCGCCACCCGGGCTTTTGAATAGAACATCGTAAAAGTTTCTTTTCAAATTTTTTTTGCACTTTTGCATGAATCTTCTAATTTCTAAAACACTAGGCTTTCTTGAAATAATGTAAGCAGTTGCTTTGGATGCCATTTTTTTCTCGTAAACAATAAAATTTGAAAATTTTTGTGTTTTTTAATAATAATTAAAAATCAAGTTTTAAAAACAATTTTTCAAACGGCTTTAAACCTTCACTGGGGTCATGTGAGGTCTTAAAAAAATTTGGCCCGATCTTATAAGTCGTTTTGACAGACAATTCAAATTTAAGATACTAATGTTGAAAATATTATCTAAATAAAAAAACCTTATTTATTTTCTCATTTTAAATATATGCTTTAAAGAGAGTTGAAACAGTGTTACAATATGGAGGAAATTATTCTAGTTGAGCTTGATGCAGGGGATAGTCTACAGGTTACAACAATAATCTAATATTTTAATGTTCAGTGTTAATGCTATGTTCAGTGAGAACTAGAAAACTATGGATGACGACATAAAAGCAGTGCTTAAGGGTGTTTGTTGTGGTTTCACAGCAAATAGTTTTTGTTTAATCACTTATTAAGTGAACGGGCTCTGTTTACACTGCACTATTTTTATGTCTCATGTTTATTTGACTATTTAAAGTCATAACTTCAGCCTTTAAAGTTGTCGTCCTATTTTAGAATTTTCTGGTCTCACTTTACTTTTGTAGACAATCGATCCCTTAGATTTAGATAGAACCTGTATTTACAATGAAATGAATGGAGGGGGTACAATGTATGATGAACAACTCTGTATATATTCTATACAATCCATTATATTTAGGTAGAATTTGTTTTTACAATGAATGGAAGGGGTACAGTGTATGATGAACAACTCTGTATATATTCTATACAATCCATTATATTTAGGTAGAATTTGTTTTTACAATGAATGGAAGGGGTACAGTGTATGATGAACAACGTTGTATGTATATATATATATACAATCCATTATATTTAGGTAGAATATGTATTTACAATGAATGGATGGGGTACAGTGTATGATGAACAACGTTGTATGTATATATATGCAATCCATTATATTTAGGTAGAATCTATATTTACCATGAATGGAGGGGTCCAGTGTATGATGAAGAACTCTGTATATATAGTTATATATACAATCCATTATATTTAGGTAGAATCTGTATCTACAATAAATGGAGGGGGTACAGTGTATGATGAACAACTCTGTATATATATATATATACAATCCATTATATTTAGGTAGAATCTGTTATTACAATGAATGGAGGGGTACAGTGTATGATGAAGAACTCTGTATATATATATACAATCCATTATATTTAGGTATAATCTGTATTTACAATGAATGGAGGGGTACAGTGTATGATGAACAACTCTGTATGTATATATACAATCCATTATATTTAGATAGAATCTGTTATTACAATAAATGGAGGGGGTACAGTGTATGATGAACAACTCTGTATATATATTCTATACAATCCATTATATTTAAATAGAATCTGTTATTACAATAAATGGAAGGGGAACAGTGATATGATGAAGAACTCTGTATATATATATACAATCCATTATATTTAGGTAGAATCTGTATTTACAATGAATGGAGGGGGTGCAGTGTATGATGAACAACTCTGTATGTATATAACAGATTATGAGAAGGTACCAGGAGGAACTGAATCTCTAGTTATAACTCATTAGGTACATTTTTAAGATTTTGTTTAGAAGAATTGTTGGTTTCGTAATTATGTTAAATCTTTTAATGGCACCATTTTCCTTTGTTTCCACAGTTTTTTGTCACTACTCAGTACTCAAGTTTAATTGAAATTATTTGATTTTAATTCTATTTTAGGGCAGAAACAAAGATGTCTTCTACCTCGAATCTGATTGCAATGTTCTGTGATAAATATGTGAATATCGTCTTCCAAAAGGGATTAGTACTTTATTCATCAATTTTCTTAAAGGGGCTGGAATCGTAATTTCAAGTGACCCTCCATGCAAAGATGACAATGCCCGATTTACAACCATATCCTTTAAAGCTTCGTCTGATCATGTGTTAATTAGATATCAATGTTAACAATTTTGAAAACTGATTATTTTTAATTAATTGTAGTTTCTCTACAAAAGTGACTTGCGCATTTCTACTGCAGAAAGGCATACGGAAATATCTTAATTAAATATTTTTTAACCATTGAATAACTACAATATCTTTCACATTATTAACCAGATAAAAGTTTTAAAGGGACAGACCGGCTATGTAAGGAGTTAAACTGAGTATGCAGTGTTGTGAACAAATTCTTTAGAATTCACTTGAGAGATATAAAACTTTTTAAAGATCTGTAAATCCTGAGAGTGAGCGCAAAGTCGACGTTCATAATCAAACTTTTGGGTGGATACGTTTTCAGAATTTTTTTTTTAATTATTAAATAACGACAAACAATGTAATCTTATTCAATTATTAGTTTCTATAATCTCTCTTTAATCACAAAGATTTTCTGAAGTTTTTCTGGAATTTTTATATTTACATTTAAAGAATTTGAAGACATCTGCGAACAGATTCATAGAAAATAAGAAATTCAATATAATGATGAAAAAGGAAATAATTAATTCTAACTTCGATTTATTGACAAATTTCTGTTGCAAAATATGAAATTCTGAAAACGTACCCACCCAAATTCATGATTTTGAACGTCGACTTTGCGCATAAACTCGGTAATTATACATCGTAGAAACGTTTTATGTGTCTCAAATGAATCCTAAAGAATTTGTCCACAACACTTTATACTCAGTTTAACTTCCTTACATAGCCGGTCTGTCCCTTTAAGTGTAGCGTTGTGAATTGGGCATTGTCATCTTTGTATGAAGGATTTCTTGAAATTACGCTTACAGTTCCTTTAAATATGATAATTTGGGTTTTACCAAAATATATGTTTAAACTTTTAAACTGAGTATGAAAGTTAAATTTTCATAATAAATGTTTTTAAATGATGCATGGGATACAATATTTAGTGTTAAGTGTGATATTATGAAAAAATGTATCTACTTGAAATGAAAATGAAATGAAAATGTATCTATACTTGAAATGAAAAACTTGAGATTATCTAAAATGTATAAATTGAATGAAGGATGATAGGAATAAAATAAAATCGTATATTTTGACATTAATTGAGCGGTAAACTGGTTTAAATACAGCGTAACACTAACTCGTGAAGGATTAAGCTTTAACGACGACCTATAAACCTTTAAATTTGACAATCTAATGGTGGAATATGGTCTTCTGTTAAAAACTGTAGTCATTTAAATATCAGATGGTTTGACAAGAAAGATGCAAGTTTACAGCTGGAGGAAAACCAGAATATAGAAGACGAAACAAATTCCGAACAGTCGTCTTTAAAATTTCATTCTATGTGGGAATTCTTCACTTTGATCGTGGTTTTAAGTGGAAAGTTTTGCTGAAGCCGAAACATTTTTTTATTGTCTGTATAAGTAAAGAAAATAAAATTGAATAATGCATTACAAGGGAAGAAAGTTCCAAACCGTGCTTAGGTTCCAAACTTGACCTAAGCATGATTCACTGAAAACATGTTTATCTTCTAAATTATTCACATTTTTATTGTTTCATTATTTAAATTATACCGTATTCAAAGAACTTGTATGGTTACAAAATTGTGTAAATGCTTGAAAAAGATCATTGATTACAATATGTGAAATGTCTCAAAATCGCGATATGTTCCAAAGAGTGTTTTGCGCCCAAACTTTGCATTTGCAAAATTGTGACATGTTCTTAAATAAAATCAAAAATGATCAAAAATTTAGATCTTAGAACTATTCAAAACTAGATCTTTTCATTTGCAGGGGTTTAGTATTTAAGTTTGTGTTATAAAAATGTTTAGTCTTAACTATTCAAAACTAAAGTGTGCAGACAGTTTTTTACTTCTTTACTTAAAATTAAAAATATAAACAGTTGAAAAGATAATTGTGCACAGTTGGCCCAAACCTGACACTCAGTGTCAGGTTTGGGCCAAATCACGGTTTGGAACTTTCTTCCCCTCCACTATGGCAGGTAATTTATTTTCAGCCTTATTTAACACTTTTCTTAAAGCTATGTATGCAGTATGATATAAAAAGCATTATTAACACTTGTGGTCGTAATTCATAATAATTATAATAACGTAATTTGGAATCAAAATACGAGACTTTAGAGACCACTGTTTAAATTTTCATAAAGTTTTGTTCTATTCAAGCATATGGTTCCCTTCAACTGTAAATTATTTTCTTTAATTTCACAATATTTTAGCATATCATGTTTTAAGAATGTTCAAGGCCAAATTTAATCAATTTTGATTCTGAGGTTGTTTCGATCAAAGAATTTAAGGCTTTCAAACAAGTCTCATCCTTGGTAGGTAAACATTAAGTACTTTTATGTTCTCGATTCTTTTTTCTTAGTATTCTTTATTTATATTTTGAAAAGAAAAAAAGTTCGCAAAAAAATAACTTGAAAATCCGCCAAACAGACTAAAAATGGCTGCAGAGGTTGAGCGTTTGATGAACAGTTATAAAGTTGTAGTTGTGAGTAAAAGCTTCTGCCCGTACTGCAAAGCTGCAAAGAAGATTTTGGACTCCTACTCTATTAATGTCGAGAACATTCATGTCCTGGAAATTGACGAAAGGTCTAGTTATTTATGAAAACAAGACTTTTTAAAGATAAAGAACAGTTTTTTTTAAATGTAAACATTTGTATTACTAAAATAAACATGATTGATAGTCGATTACGCAAAAATATACTGAAAACTAACTACAACGAAGTGAATACTGAATATTTATATTTTGATCTATCATTCAATGTATGTCAAAAATATACTTAAATATCTAAAATATATAGCCCAACAAAAAGGAATAAAATAGAAAATAAGAAAAAATGATGACTCACTGGAACCTTCCATTTGAAGGACACTGTTGTGAATCGTGTCTGGCATGCATTCATTGAATTATGTGAATTGTCACTTCAAATTTTTAAAGGAATTGAGTCTTTGCCACAAACTAAAATGTTCTAATCCTTATATCTTTGCAATCTCACGGTGTAAACCTTTGATATTTCAAACTCAGATTATTTGATCCAACAGAATTCATAGTTTGAAAATATCTAAGGTCTATGACATTGGATTGCAAATATATAGGGATTAGAAAATCAGAGTTATTGGCAAAAACTCCATTTCTTTCAGGCCGGATGAGGAGGAAATAATGGACTTTCTCGAGAAGATCGGAGGAACTAGAACTGTTCCCAAAGTCATTATCGGAGGCGAAGTTATCGGAGGAGCTGATGATACGGCCAACCTCCATAATACTGGAGAATTAAAGAAAAAACTGGAGGCAGTCAATGCAATATAAATATGTTCGACGGGTCTCTGAATCTGCGAAATAGCAGATAAAAGTTTTCATGCAGAAGATTTTGTTTTATCAAAAATAAAATGATTAAAGCACCAAATTTTATTTAATTATATAATTGAGCAATATATAGTATAATTGTATTTATAGTTTGATACATGGATAGGTATAACGTTTAAAACAATGGAAGAGATTTTTTAAATTTTGGTTCTTTAACACTTATCATTTAATATTGATGGTCATCATTATAATCTCACTTTTTACAAAATAAAGCCCAAGGGCGTAAATAGGGGGGGGGGAGCAAGGGACAGTGCCCTCCCCTCGAATCATTGAGGGCAGAGGTCTTTGCCCCACTTGAAATCTTATTTTCCACTTTTAAAACTGAAGAACACAAACAAAAATTGGGGGTTCCCATACCCCCCCCCCCCTATTTCACAATTTCCTAGCGGATGGGGGAAGCGGGGGGGGCACAGCAATTTTGATTAAACATAATGTTGTAAACGACTCGGATAAAACAAACAATGAAGTTAAAAGAAACAGAATTTTTCGATATAAGTTTTTTCATCACAACACGACATATCACAATAGAGAAGATAAAATTTGAATTAATGATTTTGATCTTTCATTTCTCGTCCTCTAGTTTCTATAGGTAGGAAGAAACAGCAGAGGGTTGCAAGCAGAGTAGAAATAACGTAAACAGATACAGCACCCTGGAACGATCTTTGCAAGAGCACCTAGAAAATTTATTTTTTATTTAATTTAATTTATTTATTTCAAAATTTCAAGGATTATGCATCAATAAGTTAAAGTCCAACCAAATGGTGTAAACCTTTGATATTTTATTCTTTAGTTATTATATCTAACAGAATTTATAATGTCAAAGATCTCCGACATCAGGTTTCAAACATCAGCATTATTTTAGTTTTAGACGAGTTTCTTTTGTTCTATACATGAGCTATTTAAGTGGGCATATAAGCTCCCAAGCTGGATATATGCCTGAACTATACATATGGAGTAAGCATAGCTCCAAACCTGGATATATAAATAAGCTATATATGGAGTAAGCATAGCTCCCAAACTTGATATACATGAGCTATATATGGAGTAAGCATAGCTTCCAACCTGGAAATACCTGAGCTATATATGGAGTAAGCATGACTCCCAACCTAGATATACATGAGCTATATATGGAGCAAGCATAGCTCCCAACCTGAATATACCTGAGCTATATATGGAGTAAGCATGGCTCCAAACCTTGATATACATGAGCTATATATGGAGCAAGCATAGCTCCCAACCTGAATATACCTGATGAGGTATATATGGAGCAAGCATAGCTCCCAACCTGAATATACCTGAGCTGTATTTGAAGTAAGCATGGCTCCCAACCTTGATATACATGAGTTATATATATAGAGTAAGTATAGCTCCCAACCTGGATATACCTGAGCTATATATGGAGTAAGCATGCCTCCCAACCTTGATATACCTGAGCTATATATGGAGTAAGCATGCCTCCCAACCTTGATATACATGAGCTATATATGGAGTAAGCATGGCTCCCAACCTTGATAATCATGAGCTATATATGGAGCAAGCATAGCTCCCAACCTGAATATACCTGAGCTATATATGGAGTAAGCATGGCTCCCAACCTTGATATACATGAGCTATATATGGAGTAAACATGGCTCCCAACCTTGATATACATTAGCTACATATGGAGTAAGCATGGCTCTCAACCTAGATATACCTGAGCTATATACGGAGAAAGCATAGCTCCCAACCTAGATATATACCTGAGCTATATATGGAGTAAGTATGGATCTCAACCTTTATATATACCTGAGCTATTATATGGAGTAAGCATAGCTCCCAACCTAGATATATACCTGAGCTACATATGGTGTAAGCATGGCCTCCAACCTAGATATATACCTGAGCTATATATGGAGTAAGCATGGCTCCCAACCTTGCCACCCCAGAACAGGATCCCACCCCTACACTCCGCAGTACAGTAGGATACACCTCAGGAGTGTAGACATACGCAGTTTGGAACAACCCGCTGCCTAGTGCCCGGGCAAAGAACAGGATGACCGTGACCGATGTTCTATCCGCAGCGCAATAGTAAAGGGTGCAGAGAACAATAGTGAACCCTAAAATATTAATCTATTTATAATACAGAGCTGAAAACTTAAAAGAATGGGACATCCTTAATCCCGATCGGTTAATTAATCTGGAGATTATTAACAAGAGGAGAATAAGCCTTATTTTATATTTAGATTAAGAAAAAGAGGAGATCAAGCATTGATCTCGATATCCACAATTTTAAAGTTTTTAGCTCAGATTTAACAATTCATTTAAAGGGAGTGTCAACGTAATTTCAAGCTTTCAATTTAAACTTTTATTTGAGCGACAATGAGGAAGATTTTATTGTTCTTCTCTTTAAAAATTTGTTCAATTTTGACAATATTATTCTTTGTCCGTCCTGCATAATTCTGCTTTAAATTACTATTTTTAAGAAACAATCTCTTGTCGGATAAAAAAACAAACATTTTTTCAAGGAAAAGGTTAAACTTTGTGAATCTACCATGTTCTTTTTTAAACACGGAGGTTCTCTTGAAATTATTTTGATAGTCCTTGTTAGTCTTTTTATTTTGTATTATCACTTGGTAGTCTTGAAAGAATATTGATGACGTTTGGAGGAGTGAGACATTTATTCAAGATTTATGTTTTTCTTTAGATTAAATATACATTTACTTCAGCAACAGTCTCATAGAATTTTCAATATTTTAGAAATAAAAAGAATTTTTTAGAGATTGGATATATCCTTGCTTTTAGAAGTTCGAACTTTTTTATATAATTTTTAACTAGTGTTTTCTTAAGGATTTCAGATTTTGTTCAAATCAAAACTGAAACTTTTATTAATACAATAAGTAGAGAGTTCTTAATGTATAAATATTTTTTTTTAAAAATGCTTGATATTAAAGTTATAATTGAAAAGAGTGTTGATAAAAATTCAAGTGCGTTTTTAACCAGATTTAAATGAGGTTTTATTGTATATATATATAAATATTTAAGTTTTTAAACTTCACATTTTATTGATAAGAATTATGCTAAACATAAGTTGTACGTCTCAAAGTTATATATTCATATAGTTATATACAAATAGATTATCAAGTACAATAGGTGGCAACAGAGAAATGAACCAATTATACACGACGTCACAAGTGACAAATATAGCAAGAAAAACGAAATTTTCTGACATTAGTTTTTCAAGATTAAATAAAAAAGTGAAAAAAACAGAAAATAAAGAATACATTTAATTTCACTTTTTTTACTGTAAGATAAGCACTTTATTATAAAACTATCACTATTTTTAAAAAAATTTTCTGACACAAAAGAATTTACACTTGTGACGTCACAATACAGCTGTACTGAGAGTGTACAAATTCTACGCTGCCATCTATTGTCCTAGAATCTATTTGGTTACATATATATATAAATATATATATATCTATAAAACAAATAATTAAAGTAGCTTCTCAGTTTTCATATTTATTAATACAAATTGTTTCGGATTGCTCAATAAGCACGGTTTAACAATATATATATATATCTATTGCTCAATAAGCACGGTTTAACAATATATATATATCTATTGCTCAATAAGCACGGTTTAACAATATATATATATCTATTGCTCAATAAGCACGGTTTAACAATATATATATATCTATTGTTCAATAAGCACGGTTTAACAATATGTATCTATTGTTCAAAGAATTTTAACTACTGAGGATTGTCATTAAACGTTTTTTAAGGTAACCCACGCGTACCCTAAAGGTGACATAGGTTAAAAAAAATTTCTTCAAAATTCATTTTTTTTATCAAAATTCGATTTTTTAAATAAATGCATATAAATTTGTTAGCTATATCATTTTTTCCTTTCTAGCTAGTATAACATAAATGGTTTCTATTCTATATAATGTTTTTGTAAAGAAAAATATATTGAAGACACTAACATGTGATGTACAGTCGTCGTCGTAAATAATAATACAATGAAGACGACTTTCATTTTCAATTTTTATTTTTACCAACCTTTCAAGCAACATGGATACACATAAACATGTAAACAACGAGAAGGTGTCAGTTAACAGCTTCTCGATGTTTACTTGTAAACTTATAATTTGAAAAAAAGCATGTTATAAATCAAAACTTAAATAGAAAAGTCGTCTTCGTTGTATTGCTATAAACTCCGACCACTGTAAATTAAAACATTTATAAACTATCTACCCATTCATTTTTTCAAGAACAATCTCTAGAAAGTGAGGAAATTTTACCTAGAAATTATAGAAAGTGAGGAAATTTTACCTGAAAATTATAGAAAGTGAGGAAATTTCACCTAGAAATTCTAGAAAGTGAGGAAATTTTACCTAGAAATTCTAGAAAGTGAGGAAATTTTACCGAGAAATTCTAGAAAGTGAGGAAATTTTACCTAGAAATTCTAGGAAGTGAGAAAATTTTACCTAGAAATTCTAGAGCCATTGTGTATTTCCTTCCTAGTTTCTCAATCAGGATTAAAGATACGACTATACCAGGGAACTCAGCCAGGGTAGTCCATAACAGGTGGTTGTAGTCCGACATCTAGATAAATATATATACACATAGAAATCTTGATAAATATTTTTAAAAACTAATACAGTAAGCCCCATAAAATTGTGGAATAGAAAAACAACATTATTCTGCTGTAAAGCTAATCATTTTACTGGTTTCTGATAAACCAATTACTTAAAGTAAGTATGTCTATGTACACTGCACAACAACTGTGTTTCATCTTCATTGGAATATCTAAAATATTGAAGTCCAACAGTGGTCTTATTATACCACGGGTTTTCGGGTCTCACTGTAGTAGTTGCTGTTGGTCTATAATGCAAAAACTATCAATTGCAAGCATTAATAAACACATATAAGATTAGTGTTTACAGAACAGGTGTAAAGAAAGAAGCAAATACAAAACACAACATTAAAATGATAGATCTGGATTCGAAAGGAATAACTCTCTGACACCCTTAAGAGTAAAAATAAATATATTAAAAAGAAGTCGATCTAGAAATCACGAAAAATTACTTTTTTAATAATATTTCTAAAATTAAGAAAAAATACCTTTAATGGATGACAATCTGCGGAGCAGGTCGGTTCAATCTAAAAATAATTATTCTCGTCAAAAAAAATTAAACTTTTTTTAAACCCAAATTTTTTTTGGAATAATAGATTCATCTAAAATTTTTGAATACAAGCATCAGAAAAACTATTTTTATATTATGAATTTTCACAAATTTTAGGAAAAATTTGAAATTTGGAATTTATGCCTCTTTTGTTTGTAAATTGCACTGTTCCTTTTAAAACATGCAGAAGGGGGGGGGGTGCAAATATTTGTTTCCCCCCCCTGACTTAAACCACCCTCGTTTCTCATTTTTTGGAAGAGTTGAATTAAACGTTCACCTTCTTATCGAATGTTCTGGAACAAAGATGGTCGGTTGAATTAAACAGTTCGGTCGACATCAGCACAACACCGTAGTACGCAAATGATGCAGTTAACCATATAACCCAGAGTAGAATTGTCGTTTTTCTCAACTCTTTCGACAGAAGATCTCCCAGTCGTCCTCGACTTAAAGTGTGTACGTCGTCGACAATAAGTCGACCCAATAGCATCGACTTTCCGTTTTGATTTGCTACTTTAGTCAGTGTTTCTAGAGCTTTCTCACTCTGACCGCTCGCAGCCATAAATCTGAAAAAAAGTTTTTTTATTAAAAGTGTTGAAATTTCAAAATAATATTTGAGTTAGACCCTAAAATACCAAAAATACAGCAAAATATACGTTAATTAGTATTCCAGAGTATAAAGTCCGAAAAAATAATAAAATTATAATTTCTTAAATTGCTATTAAAAGTATTCCCATTTGATTTCAACGTTTTTCTGCCCCCTCCCCCCTTCTCTCCCCCTCTTCTTTTTACCCCCTAATTCTACCTTGGTGACTCTGGAAGCCATGAGGCTGCAAGAAGGAACATTAAGCTGGGTAGAGAGGAGATAGCCAGCAACCATCTCCAACCCAGAGAAGGCATTATAAACATTGCAAGCAAAACCTGGAAGAAACAGAGGAACTGATTTATCAAATCCTTACATCTATACAACCTTATCTCGTAGACCGTGTTTACTCTTAACCATTATCAGATAGTAGGGACATATTTATTCAAGAAAACTATTAATTTTAATCATTAATTTCTTTAAAAGAGGTGGTATTTCTCCTGACATGGGTATTTTGTTCCACTTTCCTAGACTGTATTTTTTTGTGAATAAATACACTTCTATTTGAAAAGATTATTTCTAATTTAAAAATGTGTGTAAAATTCAGCAAACATCCACAAAAATATGTCGTAGAAGAATTACCACTTATTTATATTTGAATAATAAAAATAAATTTCTAAAAAAGTGGATTTTGAATACAATTTGACATCCCAGAGTCCGAATTTAATGAATTTGAGCCGCGTCTAAAATCCGCCAAAAATCGGTTTCATTTGAGCGCCGGCTTAAATCTTGAAACATTGAATACAATTTTAAATGGAACCAACCATATTTGAGCCGCGTGTCAAATTTAAACCGATGCTCAAATTCTTTAAATTCGGCCTCTGGAATATTATTTGTATTTGTAATTCAAATAAAATGTTTTATTTAAAGTACAACTACAGTCAAGAAAAAAATAATACAAAAAAGTGCAGGCCAAGGAGACACAATTTATCCTTGTACACTGTACAGCTATGTACTAATCCAACATATTTTATAAGTTTTTAATATGAAAATAACTTTTAAAAAATCAAATAAATGTTGTCACACACTCAGATTTGTTCATCCCATGGTTTAAACCTTTTACTGACATTTCAAACTTAGATTATTTGATCTAACAAAACTTATTTAAAATATTTAAGGTCTCAGATATTGCGTTGCAAAGATATAGGGATTAGAAAATCAGAGTTTGTGACAAATACTTAATTCCTAATGTGAAAGGGAGGGTTTACGAACCCTGACAAAAAAGTTTTTGAATTTACTTTTAAAAATTAAAACAAAGATATTTTACAAGTTTTTTGGATTTAAATTTTTATTTTTTTTTAATTTTCGGCAGGCCTACCTCTAAACATGCTCCGAGGGCCCAGAAGCAGTCCAGAAGAACTACGCATTTTCCACGCTGCTTGCTGGGTAAAAACTCTGCGTATAGCGTCACAGACTGTGGTACGCAGCCGATGTTGAAACCAACCATAAATCTAGATTACACTTGATAAAAAACTTAAAGGGGCTTTAAGCGTAGTTTCATGTAACCCTCCATGCAAAGATGGCAATGCCCGATTCACAACGCGTACACAGTACATTAACAAAAATTTGTTTGCAAAGTTTGTGTAAAACTATATTGTTTCAGGTTTTTTTTAATTTTTTAACATCATATACTAATGTAAGAAATCATATAATTGTTTAAACCTTCGTTACGGACCAGAAAACTCTGGTTAAAGGAGTCTTAAAACTCTGGTTAAAGAACAGTCTTGGATCCATGATCCTAAATAGGGAAGAGCAGAAAAGATGTGCTTTTCTATAAAGCAGGCGGGGAGAATGGTTGCCATGTCTAACAAGAAGATCCCAGGAAACCAAAGCTGTGGATTTGAATGAAACTGTAGTAGCAGTATATCTACATCGCTAATTTAGTTAATTGTTTTATAGTTTTATATGTTCAATAATGTTGTCTTTTATTGGTGTAAGACTATATTCGTCTAGAGTATTGTTACCCCCTTCGGGGGTATCCTTTCAAATATAACAATAATATCCAGGGATATGACGGAGAGAGATAACTTGAACTATACCTGAGACATAATATCCATGGATAGGACGGAGAGAGATAACTTGAAATATACCTGAGGCATAATATCCAGGGATAGGACGGAGAGAGATAACTTGAACTATACCTGAGACATAATATCCAGGGATAGGACGGAGAGAGATAACTTGAACTATACCTGAGACATAATATCCATGGATAGGACGGAGAGAAGGAGCTAAGAAAAGCATAGAAAAAAAGAAATATCCCAGAAATGATGAGAGCTGGTTTTCTTCCAAATCTATCTGAGACCTTGCCCCAGAACATGGAACTTAACATCATACCTAGAAAATATGGTTTGTTCAGAAGAATATCAGCGTAGTTTTAACTAATCCATTCTGTAAAAGAAGCAATAACTTAAAAATCGTATCTTTTTTATCATCAGAGAATAAACAACTTTTTCTTGCAGTATCTTTTTTCTTTCTTACTGTAGAAATTCACGATGTTTTTTCTCATATAAAGCTTAACATGTTTTTAATCCTTTTTGCAATCTTGAATTATTGGGTTACATAAAATTTTGTTGAGATTCCATATACATTTTTACTCTTATTTTATGCAATAGCTTATTGGACATAAACTTAGCTTTATGCATTTTCTTATTACTTCTTTTTGAAAGGATTTGAGTCTTTACCACAAACTCAAACTTTCTAATCCCTATATCTTTCCAACCTGATGGTGTGAAACCTAAATTATTTAATCTAACGGAATTCATATAATTTGAAATATCAAAGGGTTATGACAATCGGGTTGCAAAGATACAGAGATTAGAAAGTTTGAGTTTTCTTTGAATTTGAATTTAGAAAACTTTGATTGTTGAATGTTGAATTAAAACTTGAAATTAAAAGGATATCGAAATATTTAAGAAAGTAATAATATTTGTACACCATTGCTTCTTTCAGTTCAACAAAACTAACAATGAATTCAAAATTAAAGTGATCCCTTATGTCATGTGTAGACCAGAATATTCGATTTACAACGGTACCATTTAAACCTTTGTCTAGTCTATGATGAATGAGATATGCTTATTTTTCAAGCTGAAAATAATCTTAAAAACGGTACTGTTGTGAGTTGAAAATGCTACTTTTAAAGTTGACATTGCGTCCATAGACATATTAAAGTCGTTTTAAACCAGGAATATGTTTTTTTTTATTTAAATCTTTAAACAATAATTACTGAACCTGTTTTCTTGAAAAGAAAAAAACCAGTTATATGTTTATATTTATAAAAAGAATTGAATTAGCATAAATTTTAGGTTCAATTTTCTTAAATGGGATATTCATCCTTCCAGTAAACACACATAAAAGAAAATAGACTCGCAACTTGGAATTCAAGAATTAAACTCAAAAGATAAAATCTTTACATTCATAATAATCTAAAACTTTTTGTATTTTTCGGTNAAAATTAAAAAGCTTAGGTTTTTAAGTATTAAAAAAGATATAAAAAAACACTAAAATAATTAATCTTTCACAAAAAAAACAAGAAAAATTATAAAATACATTTTCCCTCTCCAAAATGTCAGGTTTTAGCAATATTTATCTCTTTATGGCATGCAAGGACGAGATTCATGGCCAAAGTAAAAACAAAAGAGAAAGCTAAACCAGAGGTAGAAACTTTTGTGTGGATTATTGTTAATCTTAAATCCTTGATCTTGATATCCAAAGTGTGCAGTTTTATTTTTGAACATAAATGCTTGATCCCTCAATGAAAGCTATCCCTGCAGAGTATGATCGCCACGGAATATCGAAGAGCAATTAAATTAATCCGTTGGGTTTCATAGGTTGGAGATCAATGCTTGATCCCGAGATTTACGACTCAAAAGTTCCGGCCTCTGGACCGTAAAAAATGAGATTTATTTACCTATAAAAACTATGGTTGTCAGGAAGGCTTGTCTGTACTGATCTATTCCCCACTCACAGTGCAGAGACAAGGGTAGAATAGATAGGATCATCATTTCCATACTGTACAGTGGACATTTGAGTAATTTCGGGGGTTCAAGAAAAATATATAAAAAGACGTAATTTTAATTAAACCTAGGTTTAAGCGAAGCAAAATGGTAGAAAATTGTGCTTTTTAAAGGGAGTTATGTTAGGGTGTATGCAGTGTTGTGGAAAATTTCTTTCGGATTCATTTGAGACATATAAAACTTTTTAAAGATCTGTAAATCCTGAGTTTGAGCGCAATTTCGACGTTCAAAACTCTTACTTTGGGGGTGGATACGTTTTCAGAATTAGTTTATTTTTAATTATTAAATAACGCTTTAAGCGAAACAAAATTGTAGAAAATTGTGCTTTTCAGCTAAAAAATTGATTTACAGCGAATTATTCTTAAAGTTCTCTTCCATATAGAACAACGAGAGAAAACATGGCCGTAATTGTTCGATGTTCCTAAAACCTTGAACTGATGTTAATCTTTGATGACCTTTCAATAATATAGAAACCAAAGCGTTAAGTGTGAAATATATAAAAGTCTAATTAGTGTAGCGTGGACGGAACAGAAGTAATGTGTATAAACTTTTGCGTGGTGGAACGGTTTGAATATGTAAAACAAAAATAAGTTAAGCGTAGACGGGACGGGTTGAATATATAAAACTCTAATTAGTTAAGCGTGGATAGGACGGGTTGAATATATAAAACTATAATTAGTTAAGCGTGGATGGGACGGGTTGAAAATATAAAACTCTAATTAGTTAAGCGTGGACGGGACGGGTTGAATATATAAAACTCTAATTAGTTAAGCGTGGATGGGACGGGTTGAATATATAAAACTCTAATTAGATAAGCGTGGATAGGACGGGTTGTATATATAAAACTCTAATTAGTTAAGGGTGGACGGGACGGGTTGAATATATAAAACTCTAATTACTTAAGCGTGGATAGGACGGGTTGAATATATAAAACTCAAATTAGTTAAGCGTGGACGGGACGGGTTGAATATATAAAACTCTAATTAGTTAAGCGTGGATAGGAAGGGTTGAATATATAAAACTATAATTAGTTAAGCGTGGATGGGACGGGTTGAAAATATAAAACTCTAATTAGTTAAGCGTGGACGGGACGGGTTGAACATATAAAACTCTAATTAGTTAAGCGTGGATGGGATGGGTTGAATATATAAAACTCTAATTAGTTAAGCGTGGATGGGACAGGTTTAATATATAAAACTCTAATCAGTTTAGCGTGGATAGGACGGGTTGAATATATAAAACTCTAATTAGTTAAGCGTGGACGGGATGGGTTGAATATATAAAACTCTAATTAGTTAAGCGTGGATGGGATGGGTTGAATATATAAAACTCTAATTAGTTAAGCGTGGATAGGACGGGATGAATCAGATATTACTCCTCCCTATCTGCCATCCAGCAGAGACCAACAGCTAGACTGAGAAGGATCTGAAATCTACCAAACCCGATACTACTAATAGCTTGGCTCACTGTAAAGGTATCATCAGGAACTACTCCACTAAAGAAGAAAAAATTATTTTTAAAAAACTTTGTTCTTCTTTTGGTGTTTTTCTATTTTTATATAATTTAAAGAAAACTGTAAAATCTTTAAAAAATATTTTTAATTTAAAAGCAGATTTTTGGTCATTTCTAGTTATTTAGTGACGCAAATTTAAAGTTAGGCAATGGATAAGTTATTACTGGTTATTTCTAATTATTTGATTAAGCAAACTTAAGGTTAGGCAATGGATAAGTTATTACTGGTTATTTCTAGTTATTTGTTGTACATTTGAATTCTGAATATCATCATATAGGATTATCTAAAAATGTCACATGTCCAGTATTCTGTATCATGTATCCTGTATCTTGTTTGCTTTGCATTTTGTATCGTTTTTTTAATACTAGCTGTATCATTATTTTGGTACACTCTTTGCTAATGTACACTTTCCTAGACTTCTGAATCCTGTATACTTAATAGTGTGTAACAATCCTGTTTTCTGTATCCTTAATAATTTGTGAAGATCCTGTAACCCGTATGTTGTATCATATACTATGAACTATGTATCCTATCCAGTATCTTGTATCATGTATCATGAACTGTGTATCCTATCCAGTATCTTGTATCATGTATCATGAACTATGTATCCTATCCAGTATCTTGTATCATGTATCATGAACTATGTATCCTATCCAGTATCTTGTATCATGTATCATGAACTATGTATCCTATCCAGTATCTTGTATCATATGTCATGAACTATGTATCCTATCCAGTATCTTGTATCATGCATCATGAACTATGTATCCTATCCAGTATCTTGTATCATGTATCATGAAGTATGTATCCTATCCAGTATCTTGTATCATGTATCATGAACTATGTATCCTATCCAGTATCTTGTATCATATGTCATGAACTATGTATCCTATCCAGTATCTTGTATCATGTATCATGAACTATGTATCCTATCCAGTATCTTGTATCATGTATCATGAAGTATGTATCCTATTCAGTATCTTGTATCATGTATCATATACCATGTATTCTTTATCCAAACCTGACAGAAGCTGTGAGCTGTATTTCTGCTCCAATCTGATTAAGATGCGCTGCAGCATTCCTCCGAATTGTTCCTCCTTCATCAAACCCTTCTCCGGAACCATTTACTTCTAACCCAGAGAAATTGAACCCGTCCTTCTCAACTCCGACAAAATCCTTGTTCCGCTCTGTCATCTCCATACTTGACTGGAATTCCAACCCTCTAGTCTCACTAATTTTGATTATAATTTTGCCATTTTCTCACAGTCACTTTTAGTCTCATGTTTATCAAATTAAAAATTTATTTTTTTACGAGTTATGCCATGAATATCACTGTCACTGTGTTGATGTATAATGTTGGTTGAAATTGGTTTGATTGGCACTGCTGGCACTGCAGAAATGTCGTTGACATTTGTTGATTAAATTCCGGTTCTTATTATTTGTCAAATATATCTACTATACACTATACAGGGTTCAGACTGCTTATGTTTATACCACGAAACCATGCAGCGTTTACCTGCCTTACGCATTCTTGAGCTCCTCTGCTCCCGACCCTACCCGGAGAAACCAATCCCGTGCAGTCCTATACCACTGTTCTAAACCTACTGCCAGTGCGTATAGATAGATAGATATTTTCACATGTAAGTTAGATAGATAGATGCATAGACATGTTCATATGTAAGATAGATAGATTATATGTGTTCACATGTAATATATATATAGATAGAAAGAAAGATAGATAGATAGATAGATAGATATATAGATAGACAGTAAGGTGCGGAACGGTGTATAGGAAGTATTATGACAAGTTTATTAATTACAATGGTTTCTAAATTCTAACTTTACTACAGTTTAGAAACTTTCCTTGATATTCATCAGATATTCATAGACGCAAATGACAAAAATTGCGACAAATCCCTGCTTGATGTACGACAGTGGTTATTTTCCAAATTGTCTAAAATATATAATATATATATATAAATATAAAGTACAGTGATAATCAGAAAACTCTGGAATAGGAAGACACTTTTAGACGCAAGTTATTACTTAAAATAGTCCAATGAGCATGAGGCACTGCAATTGTGAAGTGTAAATATGTAGTAAATGCCCTACTCCGTAAGGGGTTCTCAAACCCGTATCAATCCAGGTACAACTCGAGCTCACTTAACTATCAATGTCAAACACGGACACAAGCTGGTAAACTATCAATGCCAAACACGGGCACGATCTCTTAGGTATCAATGTCAAACATGGACACAAGCTTGTAAACTATCAATGCCAAACACTAGCACGATCTCTCAGCTATCAATGTCAAACACGGACACAAGCTGGTAAACTATCAATGCCAAACACGGGCACGATCTCTCAGCTATCAATGCCAAACATGGACACAAGCTTGTAAACTATCAATGCCAAACACTAGCACGATCTCTCAGCTATCAATGCCAAACATGGACACAAGCTTGTAAACTATCAATGCCCAAACACTAGCATGATCTCTCAGCTATCAATGTCAAACACAGACACAAGCTCGCAAACTATCTCAGGTATCTTTCTTACAAGATACTATACAGGATATCAATTCCCAATCTAGAGAGTGATTCAGGACGCTTCTCGTTCGCTAACGAAGAAGTATTTACTCTCACACTGTAATCAAAGCAACGTCTATTCCATTTCCAACTGACGTGCATTTAGAAATCTATGTTACAGGTTAAGTTAATATACTTATTTACAAGATTTGCACAGCTTTATGTAATCCTAGTTAAGCTGATCACAATACATAGCTAGTATAAACACATTATAAGTTTTGCGTAGTTAAGGATAAGCGCATTTAGATTTACAGACAATGTACACCATAATTTATCTAGGTATGTTCAAATGCATAACTATGGGATTTGTTACGGTATTTATTACAAATAGACCCATTTTACTTAACAATTGATTTTATAACTTACTAGTAAAGCTATTCGCTTTGTAATGTGCATTTTAGTATTGCTTTAATGTCGTCTTCCTATTGCACAGTTTACTTGTTATTGCTGTAGTAAACTTCTATTCGTCTGCAAATGTTTGCTTGTTTATCCGATCATAACTCCTTGACCGATTTTCCTCTACTTCTAATTCGACACTCGGTAAAACCACGAGAATTCTCTTAGCTATAGTTTGAAAATTATAAATTCAGTGGGTTGACTTTCACAGAGAAAATATATTTTCCAGGCAAAGCTGGGTTCCCAATCTTCAATTTCAAATTTATCTTTGAGACAAACGCAGCATAATAAGGCTATAAATTCATGACTTTGTAACCTAGAAGCTCCTCCAATTTTGATTTTACGGCCAAGTATGAGAAAAATGTGCAGCATCGTAGGAATTTCAAACATGTTTTTCCTCATTATAGTCTTTCAGAAAGAGGCGCTATGATTGAAAACAAGTTAGATTTTAATTTAACAAAAAATTTACTTAAATTTGACGTGGTTAACCAAAAGCAGATTCGAGCCGCTTAGAAAAATTTGTATCAAAAAGAATAAGCATCAATAGTTTGATATTCTTACACTGATAATATTTTCTTATCGACAGTCAAGTAACGGTCAAATCAGTTCAGATGATACAACATTTAGTTATCTTTACAATTCCGGATCATAAACTTTATTTTTGTTTTCTGTGAAACACAGGAACTGAGTCTTTGCCACAAACTCTGATTTTTTCTACCCTATATATCTTTGCAACCTAAATGATGTAAGCCTTTAATGTACAAACTTATATTATTTGATCTAACAGAATTTATAGCTTGAAATATCTAAGGTCTACGACATTAGTCTGCAAAAAACGTCAGCAAGGTTTTTTATTTGATTATCTGTCTGTTGGTTTGTTAGTTTATATCCGATAAACGTCAGAATGGCTGAACCGATCCAGCTCAAATTTCTTTTTGCTCAGAATTACAAAACATTGTCTTCAACATTTTTTGATTTTCGTAAACTTGAAAATCCACTAAAAACAATTGCAAATCCGCAAATAAGTAAAGAGAAAATGCTGAAAGATGGAGCAACAATTAAAAGTTAAAATTGAAGATGGGCGCGAAGCGCCCTTATATCCTAGTTTTTCTAAAAATGTTCAGGAAACCTTTTTAGAAATGTCCAATTCACATCATCATTCATCATTTATTTACTTATTTTAGATATCTTGAAACCCTGAGTATCAATTTGAAATAAGGTTTCATTTTGTCATTGAATAATAAACACTCTTACTAGCTTTGATAATTTTTTGGTACATATCGCCCAATGTCTACTTCCATATGAAATGCGGCCCGCGAATTCAACCCTGAGGGACTCCCAAATTTGAAAGTAGAATATCAGGTTAAGGATCTAAAGAACCTGAAAACTAGCTCCAGTATCAAGTTAAACCTTTACAGACAAAATACATTCATATAAAAACAACAAAAACAAGGAAAGGAACCGAGTTTTCGCCGCAAGTTCAAATTTTCGAATCCTTATATCTTTGCAACCTTTGATATTCCAAACTTAGACTAGATAGAATTCATGTTTGAAATATCTACAACATCGGGTTTTTAAAGATAAACGGATTATGAAAAATTAAAGTTTTTCAATTTCTTTATTGATTAATTAAATCGTAAATTGTCCAGTACTCGCGACAAAAAGTAGAGGAAATACCAAAATTCAGACGGTGTCTAGTATTTCAATATAATGCATTTAACCTCCTCGGATATCAAACGAACACTGATGCATCTATTCTTGTTTACTAATTCCGCCCAGAGAGAACTGGTTTCAATATGTACACAGAGTATACGCAACTGCATTAACTTTCCTTGCATTATAACCTTGCACAAAAGTATAAGTAAGTAGGTGAGGTAAAGTCAAAGGCCAATGAATTGCGACACTTAATTTAAATCTAAAAAATTGTGATGACTACCTTTTATTAGAGTTGTCTAGATCTCAGCGAGGTAAAATGACTGAAGAAGAATTGATTCAGTTTACAAACTGTCACATTCTCAGGTACACTCAAATAGGTTGTCAAGTACTTGACAACCTATTTGGGTACACTATAGTCCCCCCCTTAAGTCTTCCTACCTCTCCACCCACTATAGTTTCAGTAGAAGTAAATATTTCTATTTACTGATAGCGCCGATTAAAGGATTCATATCTCTAATTGGATAATGAGATAGATAGAAAGATAGATGTACCGCCATACTATTTCTATTGGTTCAGAAAAGACAACAAACACATGACTGACCCCTGATTGGATCAGGCGCTAACGAAATCGGAAAACAAGTGTGGTATCAAAAACACAACTAAGAAGTTAGAGGTCAGAACTTTTAAATTACTAATTCCTTCAGAATGCATTGATCGACAGATTAAGCTCATTCCTTCTATATATAAATTTGGCTTGTCTGTCTGTTTGTTTGTCTGTTTGTTTGTTTGTTTGTATCCAATAAACGTCAAAACGGCTGAACCGATCGGGCCCAAATTTTTTGTGGGACATCTAGGGACTCCAGGGAAGGTTTATGAATCATCAAAATTTCAAATATTTGTCTCCATCAAAATTCGATCGTCATTAATATATTAAGAAAATGGACCACAAAGCGTATAGACTGCCAGGGAAGAATAATAACCCCTGGATTTATTGATCTTCAAATCAACGGAGCTTTCGGAGTAGATTTCTCCTGTGATATCAAGGACAAGGAGAGTGCAGATCAATGTATTAGGACTGTAGGAAGAGGTAAGAGTAAAATCGGGGTTTCCACATTTTCATCCTGGTTAAATCCTTATTCTTTATCTCTTTTGTAGCTGATAAAATAAGATAAAAACTCGGGAACTTATGCTTTGTGGATATCGAGACCAAGGCTTGGTTTCGACCTTTTGTTAATCTTGAGATATCTTTATTCGGTATCCCTTGATCAAGGGAGGGATTCATTCATATTTTCATATTTTTATTCAACTATAAAGCACGAGATAATACAAATAAAAAAATCACAATTTACTATGTAGTTTGGACCCGCCTAACCAGAGTAGGTTGTTTTAATTGGTTGGCCCACTATAAACGAATGAGAATTGCAGATAAAAACAATGTACATTGTACATTTTAAACATAAGAATGATAATAAATCAGGTAAAAGATAAGGAGGAGGTGAGGGAGTATAAAGAAAAGGGAGGATAATCAGCGTAAGGGTTGGAATAGAGGGTAACATAAGTTATTAGAATCATGTTTATGAACTACAGGGTGAAGAAGATAGTAAAGACTAAGTTTATCCACATGGTACACAGTTTTTTTTTTACAGATATAATTTGCATAACTATCTAAATAGATCTTGGCGACTTTTCTTTTAAACGATTTTGCAGATTTAGTTTCTTTAAGCTCTAATTCAATCGAATTCCATATTTTTGGAAATAAGGCAGAGGGAAAACATTCTAGGGTTTTAAAGAGAACTCGTTCAAGTTTATATGATTTTGTTCTATTTGGTTCAGCTAAAGAATTAAACATATCCTGGAAGGAAGCTGGAAGGTTTTCATAAAAGTATTTATGCATAAAAGATAGAACACCTAGTTTATATGTATCATCTGTATCATCAAGATTTAGGAGTTCTAATCTGAAAAATATTGGATCTGAATGTGCCTTAAATGAACTATTATTTACTGCTCTAATTGCCCTTTTTTGCAAAGACTTGATTTTCTGTAGTTTAGCATTTTTTACGCCCCCCCATGTTATAATTCCATACTCAATATGTGGCCTTACAAGTGCATTATAGACTAGTAGACGAATGTTTAACGGTAAAATGTTTTTAATCTGATTCAGAGCAAAAATTGAGCTAGCAATCTTATTGGAAACATGTTGAATTTGATAGTCCCAATTTAAAAATTCATCAATTTTGAGTCCAACAAATTTGAAATATTTATTTGTACAGTCAGTTCCTATTCTTTCTAGTATCTCATTTCCATTTTTTAATTTGCAGTTCTCATAACTTGATCAAGGGAGGGATAACTTGATCAAGGGAGGAATAGCAAAAATGAAGATATGGATTTTCAAATTTGAAGTGAAGTGCTCACAATGGATATCAAGATCAAGCGAACAGGAGTATCCGACACAGCAGCGCTCAGTTTATTTCTCTTAGTTAAAGTAGAAATATATATTGGTCACTATAGTTTCAGTAGAAGTAAATATTTCCATTTACTGTTATAGCGCCGATTGAAGGATTAATAACTCTAATAAGATAGATAGAAAGATAGATATTACCGCTTTATTATTTCAAAATTCTATTGGTTCAGAATATACAACAAACACATGACTTAACCAGGATAGAATCAGGCACTAATGGACTTGGCATACAGGAGTGTGGTTATACCTGAAAATTTACCCACAACGAATAAGATTGTAAAGATGACCTAACATATAACAATATCAAGATTCTATCTTCTGCCTAGCATAAATATAGTCTATTTATGACTTATTTAATGATTGAGTGAATAAAGATACAAGTTTTCAGTTGCAGGGAATCATAAATATAAGGAGACAGGCAGTACATATTCCGTAAGTCGTCTCTGAAGTTTAAGCCTATATTGGTTCGGATCATGCAACAATAGTGCGGGGTTGTGCATTGTGTATTATGTCTAGGTATTCTAGCCCATGGAGTCACCAGTTATTGTCCTACAGTTGTCACTTCACCACCAGAGGTTTATTCTACTATTCTACCCTTCATTCAACCTAGGTATAATTTCCTTTCTAATCTGCAGATATAATTGCTCGAAACATAATTTGTAGAAGTCAAGTTTTTATGTAAAATATGCTAGATGACATCCAGGTAATGCAATCTTAACATAAGTTCATTATTTCACAATTTCACGAGGTCACGAGCAGTTAAAAATGAAAAAAAAAACATTAATTTTTTTTGGAAATCAAGCGGAACCATCTTAACAAATTTTTCCATATGAAATTTTCGTCCAGTAAACATTAATTCTTATGTCAATCTTGTGTTGCATATAAGGGTTAGATTTATTCTTTGTTCAGTTATGAAAGTTTCCAAACGTTAATTTCCGAAACTTTTACAATTTTTAACAGCTTCAGGAAAAGTTCCGTAAGGCCTTTACGGAACCAAAGTAAAATAAAGTTTCTGCCACAAACTCAAATTTTCCATTTGATCGAACAGAATTTAGAAAATCTGAGTTTGTGACAAAAACTCAATTCGTTTATCAAGAAGAAATTAAAAATCCCTGATTTTCTTGTTCTCACAGTTGTTTTTCCCCAAAGAAAGTAAAATATTTTGAAGTTAAAATTTCCATTTTATTATAAAATCGATGAATCTGAGAAGCAAAGATTAAACGTCAACACAGCACAATACATTTTTGCATAAATATTTACAGGGAAATATGTCACCGTCTTCGAGAAATAATAAAAAAAGTTATTCCATGCCTTATCACTTTTTAAATACAAGATTAGGTTTAGAATAATAAGAATAGTTTGTAGTTTATGTGTCATGTCTGCATTACAACGGCGGTGTCCATTAAATTATATGTCTGTGTGAAATTTTATTATTTTCAAGTCTGTTTTCACTTTTAAAGTGATTTACACATTTATGCTTCGGAGATTTAGAAGGAAATTAAAACTTTTTACGAATGAAAATTTTCTCATTGTTACTAGATCAGATAGTTCAAGGGTACCGTCATCAATCAGAAATTCCTACCCCTTAAATTTATCTTTATTTTACTTTAAAAATATAAATTCCTAATTTTTAAAAAGTTTTTATGATAAACCATAATTGAGTTATGAATGAATTAAATAAGTGCAAATTGATGCATGGTTATTTATGATTCATCCTGTACACTCTAAGAAATGTCAAATTTTTATAAAACAAAATTTATCGTATCACCGAAGCCAAATTCAACTTTGTAGCTTTATTCATCAGGTTTTGTTCAGTGAAATTTATCATTTATCAAAATTTGAAGAATTGTGCTACTAAGTTGAAATTGGCACCTGATGGGTCCCACTCTGTAGAATTTTTAAGTCATAAAAAGAAAGGAATTTAGTCTTTGGAACAAAATCAAATATTTAAACCTCAATATCTTTAGAACTCGATGTTGTAAACCTTTGATATTTCAAACTCAGATTATTTGATCTAACATAATTCATAGTTTAAAATATCTAAGGTCTGCAACATTTGGTTCCAAAGATATTGTGATTAGAAAATCAGAGTTTGTGGCAAAGACTCAATTTCTTTGTGATTCTTGCACCATATCTGAATATAAAGTTCTGAAATATGTTTAAGCTTGGTTTTTTTATGTTATGTTTTATGGAAGAGAAATACACATTTTGATACACATACAATAAACTAAATGTGACCCTTTGTGAGTGCATGTATGCAAGATATAGGAGGGAAAGGGTTTGAGTACACATCTCAGAACTGCTATGAATTAGTTTTAACAAAACAATAACAAAGATTGTTGTTTATTTACCTAAATACAGCTCCTGAACCATTAAAATATATACAAACCCTATCACCCCAACCTTTATCTGGATCTATGACAAGGTTGTTTAAAAAGGTTAGATATTTGGATGCCCTCCAATGAACACTGGTAGGCGATTATATCAATAAAATGAAGACGACTTTTTAATCTAAATTTTAACTGTTGAAAAAATCATTTTCTAGAACGGACCAAAGGGTCCGTCCTAGAGAATGATTTTTGGACCCCCCCTCCTATCAATTTTGTATAATTAAATTAGTATTTATTTAGGGTTAGGTTAGGTTAAGACACTTTCTGGACCGAGCGCTGCGGCTAGGACAGGCTAGGGGGCTGAGCGCTGCGGCCCTCGGGTTAGGTTAAGTATGACACTTTCTGGGTCGAGCGCTGCGGCTAGGACAGGCTAGGGGGCCGAGCGCTGCGACCACCTGTCTTACATTTAAGATCCATGTTCAAAATTGATAGGAGGGGGGTCCAAAAATCGTTCTCTAGGAAATTGCAAAGCTTTTTTCGAATTACAAGTTTGCAAGTAACTAAAGAGAATCTTTTTTATTGACAGCTTCTCTTTGTTCAATGTTTTTGTGTGTCCATGCTAATTAAAGCTTGATTTAAATCAATATTTAAAATCGAAAGTCGTCTTCATTATATTGATTTAATCGCCTACCACCGTATTATAAATGTCGTTTTCATAGCAATGTCGACACAGTGAGAGGGGGGGGGATTTTCTCCTATTTTTACAGCTGACAAGTGGATGAAAGCCTTCTCCCTCTCACTAGCAACGGTGTCACTTCATCTTCCCTCAATAATAAGATACGCCATATGAGAATTTTATTGCTATGTACATTGCTATGAAGACGACATTTTCCTTAAATCGGAACGCATCCAGAGTATCTAACCTTAATAAACAACCTTGATCTATGCTTTCCTAATCCCTCTTTCAATATTATTGACCAGTCCCTTTCAGGAAAGGAGGAAAGGATGGAGCAACGGTTCTGGGAGTTCACGTTGAAGGACCTTTCATCAATTTAGAGAAGAAAGGAGCTCATCCAACACAATGTATCAGGTCACCTCAAATTAAAGTAAAGATTGCGTTAGGGTGAAAGTATACATATTTTCATTCAAAACTCCTCTCTTTGAAACGCAATGAGAGAGAAAATAATGTTTAAAACTTTTAGTAACCAGATGAATTTGCTTTTCTGATACCTGTGCGTATATTCAGAAATACAAGAGCTACGAAGTCACAAAGTTGGACCAGTGAATGGTCCTTTTGTCTAGTTGAGTGTAAGATTTTTCAAGTGACTCTCCATTCATAAAGTTGCATGTAGAATTCACAACGGTACCCTTTAAACCTTTGTCTGATCAAATATCTTATCATTATTTCGATTTCTCCAGAAAGCCATTTGCAGGCTTAAGCTCCAGCAATAAAGTAGAAATGTTCGTTAATTAGTTCGACCCCCACCACCACTTTATACACATACATATTCTAAACAGTTTGTTTTTAACCTTTGTGACAGAAACAATCTCAAGGAATGGTAATTGTCTTAAAACATTTTTTTAAAAAGTGAATATTTGTAAATTATCTTTTTTCCATCTCATAATCTGAGTTTGTTTCCCTTATGTCCATTTGACAGCCCAATTTTTTATTTTGATTAATTTTTTTTGTTTGTATATTTTCTTATGATTTTTAACAAAAAAAATTTTTTATTTGTTTTTACCGATTTTGATGGTTATTATATCGTAAGAACTGACGAGGGTCAGCCCAGACCGAAATATATTTTCAATAAATGTGGAACTAACATTTACTTTTTTACTCTACAGAGGTTTGGTCCATCACCATCACCGAATTTTAAAGTAGAAATGTTTAAAATAGAAAAACTTGATATTTTTATAAGAAAATAATGTGTCTAGGTCCCCTACTGAAGGGTTTAAGAGTGTGAGGGAAATGTATGGTCCAGGTTTAAAAAATGTTTCTATCATCACCCTAGCTCCGGAGCTAGAGGGTTCTATGGACGCTATCCAGGGTTGCGTAGAGACAGGGATTCTAGTTTCTCTGGGTCATACTCAAGCTACGCTCTCAGAGGTACACCGTACAAAATATTGTTGAAAAACTTTGTACAGTGGGACCCACAACACTGTGGTAAAAAAGATGACTTTTTAGCTCAAGTTATGATTTTAAGTTGACCTATGTAATAGAACAAGTGTGCACTGTAAACAGACCCATTTCACTTCATACGTTGATGTTTAAGCTTCTGGTAAAACAAGTTCCTATATAACGCATAGGAATGCTAAAATGTCGTCTTCCTATTCCACAAATTTATGGGTCTCACTGTACAGTGTACATGAACATGTACTGCTTATAGGACATACTGTGCAATACACAAGCTATAATTAAAGAAGGTACAATTGGACTAGCTAACTTATAATTTTTTATAAATCTAAATCAAAACTCAAAAGATTGCATTTCCTTTCAATTATTTACATTTTCTGTTTAATATAGCGAATTAGTCAATAGGTAAATTTTATTGCAGACAATAGTTTTCAGATCTAAAATGTCTTAACACTTTCTACTAGACTGCAAATACCTTTCAAGATTAAAATTAAAAGGATCGTTTTCAAAATGACAATTGAGACTACAAGAAAGAATTTTGCGAAAAGGTTCAGGTTAAATACACACATGACAGAAGCGCTTTGACTGTTGCGTGACCTGGGGAAAGCACCATTGGGAAACTATACATTTTGGAAGATAACCACATAGGAAAGTGTCACTAAGGGAAATTAACAAATCTCATGTACAGTACTTTCTCATTTTTATGTACAGGGTGAAGAGGCTGTACGACGTGGTGCAGGATTAATCACTCATTTGTTCAACGCTATGCCAAGCTTTCATCACAGGTACCTGCAGTACAGTAGTAAGCGGATATATCAATACATTGAAGACGATTGATAAATACTTTTATTCTCTTCATATGCCGTGGAAAATTTTATGAATAGAAGATTTGTTTTGAATATAGAAATGAAATAAGTGTTTAGCTTTTAATATTGATCTTGCTACTGATCTGAACTTAACGCTGTTCTAACGGCCCACTCGTCCGTATTTTATGGCAGCATGATTATGCATACTTTTTGTTTACCATGGTAACAATAAAATTCAGATATTGCTTCAACATTTTTCTCGAGTGTTTAGACAATTTTACAGTCTTTTTTTAGAGATCCAGGCCTGATTGGACTACTAACATCGACCAAATTAAATAATAATAAGGTATTTACTTTTTATCAAATCAAAATTTCAAATATTTGTCTCCATCAAAATTCGATCTTCATTAAATTTTTGAAAATTTTGAAAATCCACGACATTTTTTGTGAAAATCCGTGAATTATTTTTGTTTTGTTTTACGATGTACACAAAGAGAACATGTTCACAAATAATTTAGAAGATGGGCTCGGAGCGCCCTCTAAGGCTAGTATATTTATATTTAGATTTGTCACTCCAATGTGAAGATAAGAAAACATTCAATTGATGCAGATTTTTCTAATCTAAAATAAAATAAAATAACTTTCGTTTAAAGTATTGTATGTAGGTATCCTCAATTATGTATGTGGTATACACAAAAATTGGTTATACGGGATATGAAAAATCAAAGTTGTTTTGCAAGATACATAAAAAATCTATAAATGTGTTACATACATACACAGTAAATACAGCAAAGTGCCCTTATACGAAATTAGGAGTTTTGAGAGGGTTCACAACTTAGGTTTATAATTGATTAAAATATTTTAGAATGTTCATGCTTTTTAAAGCGGTTTTTAGGCGAGAAAAAAGGAAAAAGATATTTTTTTTCATAGAATATGAAAAAATAATCATCACTTTTACTTAGTAATATGTTTCCATTTACAGCAAAGTTTGATACAAAAATGAATTACCTAAGGTGCGCTAAAGAAACGATGCTGTTCATGTATGAGCCGACAGAAAACAACCAGTTTGATCAAATTTTATCGATTTTATCTTTGTCAAATATGATTAATATTAACAGCGAACGATAAATTAGTTATTGTAAACTTTTTTAGATACAGGGTATGTTTAATATCTGTTTTCAGGACGGAAAATACCAGTTTGGACAACAACAGATTGAAGTTAGAGGAGATGAAGCCTATGTTGCAGGTCTTTTGGGGATTTTATTTATAAAAAATATACGAATTCTTTAGCTAAACTTGACTTCGCAATTAATTCAGTGGCAAAAGAAACAAACTCCATATTGTCAGTATCTAAAAAGCGTTTGCAAGAGGAAGACGGAATTTTTATAAGCAATCTCTCTCCGAATTGGCAGTAAAGCAAAGATTTTGATAGGTGATGAATCATTGAGTTCTATGTTTATTTTGTCACTGATATGCTGAAGAAGGCATGTGAAGCAAAGAATTAGTATTTCTCTCGAAGTATCTCAAATTCTCAAAACGAAGAGAGAAATGTTGCAATGAATTTTATCATAGCACATCTAATCGGCAAAGAATTCTCTTCAGGGCACCTTGAACAAAACTCATAATAAGATCGAATAAATTTTGATTTCCAGAAAATAATACTTTCTTATTAGTAAAATATAATTCATAGTTTATATATATTTCTTACACTGCAATTTAAATGCATTTTATTATTTTATCAAACTATGTTCTCTTAAAATATTTTTTTTGTGGAAATCCCAATTTTCTATTTTTTGGCGGACAACTCATGTTAGTTATTCACACTTAAAAAATTCTGTTCAGGAACAAGTACTTTGACAGGTTCAGTGGCAACTATGCACAAGAGTATTCTCAAGTTTAGGAAAAGCTCCAGGTATGGTTTACAGTAGGGATCCAGGTTTACTTCTGGTATACTTCAGGTATAAATAACAGTAGGACTCCAGGTATACTCCAGGTATAAATAAGAGTAGGACTCTAGGTATACTCCAGATATAGATAACAGTAGGACTCTTGGTATCCTCCAGGTATAGATAACAGCAGGACACCAGGTATACTCCAGGTATAAATAAGAGTAGGACTCTAGTTATACTCCAGATATAGATAACAGTAGGACTCCTGGTATACTCCAAATATAGATAACAGTAGGACTCCTGGTATACTCCAGGTATAGAGAACAGCAGGACACCAGGTATACTCCAGGTATAAATAAGAGTAGGACTCTAGGTATACTCCAGATATAGATAACAGTAGGACTCCTGGTATACTCCAAATATAGATAACAGTAGGACTCCTGGTATACTCCAGGTGTAGATAACAATAGGACTCCTGGTATTCTCAAGGTTTAGATAACAGAAGGACTCCTGGTATACCCATGGTATAGGTAACAGTATAGGACACTAGGTATACTCCAGGTATAGATATCAGTAAATCTCAGGTATAATCAAGGTATAGGTAACAGTATAGGACACAAGGTATACTCCAAGTATAGATATCAGTAAAACTCAGGTATACTCCAGGTGTAGGTAATATGTAACAATAGTACTACTCCAAACAGTGCCACAACTATTTGATGTGTTGAATTTTATAGTGATAGTGTCGGTTGCCATGTTTAATAATATTGAGAAATATTTCTTTAATTAGACAAATCTAATCGAAGAAAACATATTTCTGTATTATTGCATATTCCTAGATGCAGTTTAGTTGAATGTCTAGAAGCTGCATCTTTGCACCCTGCTCAGGCTCTAGGGATAGATAAAACCAAGGTTGGAATACGATCAGACTTTTATAAAAAAAATTGATTATTTGTCTCAAACTTTAATTCTCTAATCCCTATATCTTTGAAAGATTGTGTCGTTGACCTTCAATATTTCAGACTTGGAAATCGTCCAAGTTAAACATATCAAAGGTTTACTCCATTAGGTTGCAAAGATTAGAAAATTAGGGGTTGAGGTGAGTTTATCTGTTTCTTCTTCCATTTAAAAATAAATTTATCTAGTTTTAAAACAGCGCAGAAAATCAAGGAAAATTTCAGTGTTAAAAAATTTTAAAAAAATGCATGAAATTTCTGACAGTATTAACAAATATATTATCGTGAAGTGGTACCCTTCAACCTTTGTCTGATGAAATATAAAACAATGAACGAAATTGCTAGAATTAAACATTCTTGAAGAAAGGATGAAATCTTTCACATTAATGATCAGATCAAGGTTTCAAGGGTACCATGGTGAATCAGGTATGCACCCTTCTTTTAATGCCTGGTCTTAGGAAGTTATCACGTCAGTACCATTAATATATTACACATCGATTCATTAGTAACAGATAGGACACTAGATGTTGTCTTTTCAAGATTTAAAGGTTTTCCGTTCATAATAACCCTGAGGCAGACGCCCAAAGAAGTTACGCGCATGCTGCATAGAATTACAAGAAAGAGATAGAGCCTGCTCTACGCCAATTGCGCGTGACTCCCTTGGGCTTCTGCCTTAGAGTTATTGTGAACGAAAAACCCCTAAATCTTGAAAAGACGACATCTAGGGTCCTATTTGTTATTTTAATTAATCTATGATATTACATAGTATGCCTGTGTTAGGGTTCCTTGAACTATGGATCTGATGCTGACCTTGTATTCCTGGAACCAGCTGATCTAGGGGTCATCTCAACCTGGATAGGTAAATCAACACATTTAATACATCCATGGAGGAGATACATATGGAGGGGGGGGGGGGAAGCGGATATACTGTCCTGCTCAACAGACAAGAGCTGAGATATTTTTGTTGGATACTAATAATCCCGATATCCACTGTGTGCACTTTTAAGTTAGAGGATCAACGATTAATCTCTTCATTTCAACGTGTTCTTATAGTATACGATTATACCATGCGGGATATCGAATAAAGATTAAATTACTGAGAAGATTGACAAAAGCTAGATCAAGATCAAACATTAATCTATCCACAATACAAGAGGTCCCAGCTAATGATTCATAATTCTAAAAAGAAAGAAGTTTGCCTTAGTGTTCTATTTTCTAATTCGTATATCTTTGCATCCTAAAGTCGTAAACCTTCTTATTTTATAATTTGATTAGAGTATTTTAGCAGAATTTACTCAATTTACGTAGAAGAAGTTGAACTAGGAATGAATAGAGATCTAGTTCAACTAACCATTCCTAGATTAACTCGATATTTGTTTAATCCGATCTCTGATAAACTATTTTTTAGCGTCTTATTTACAGATAAACTGTTTTAAAAAGTTAGCAAATGTTGATTTCATCTACTTCAGAATTAAGAATGGTGGAAACAAATATAACACTACAGCACGATTTTATATATTTAATCGCACTGAAGCGATTCTAGAATATAATTCATACCAGCGCATGATTTCTATATTTAAATCGCACTGTAGTATTTCTAGAATTTTGACTGATACACCTTGATTAAAAAGCTTTCATGTCTGTTGGTGCGATTTCAAAATTTTGATCGCACGTTTTAATAAAGTAAAATTATTTAGACGGTAGGATGGTTTATGAAGCGAACTGTACCTGATGAATACCAGAAACCAGATGGTTTATGAAGCGAACTATGCCAGATGAATACCAGAAATCAGATGGTTTTTTAAACAAACTGTACAAGATAAATAATATAAACCAATTGCATGGTTATATTTAAAGTTAATCAATACTTATTTATAATTGTTAATTGTTAAATATTGTGAATATTTATTAATTGTAACGTATTTTTAAAAATAAACTTTTATTTATTTAATCTTTGAAAATTTTATATTTTTGTTGTACAACGCTTTACATATTAAATTTTTTAATTTTACGTACATATTTTTACCCCATCCTTTTTTTCAGTCCTCTAAAGCTATTACCCCCCCCCGTCCCCTATCCCATTCTGACCCTTTTTCTCACCGTCCCCCTTCCCTGAATGTTGTTCTCATTCCATCCAAAGGAACTGAGTTCTTTCCACAAACTCTGTTTCAATTCCGTATATGTTCTTTACGACCCGATGTTGTGGACCTTTTATATTTCAATCTACCAACGCTGTTTGATCAAATAGTCACGTTTATGATTACATCATCAGGTTGCAAAGTCTTCCCACATAGCTTCCTCACATTCTTAGATATTTATATCCCTTTTTCTACCAGTCTCAAACCATGTATCCCTGCTAATTTTAGATTCTCTCCTTTTTTATACCCCCCCCCTCACCCCTTCCCCAATGTTCTCATTTGCCAAACAGTCTTTCCATTATTTTTGGTATCCTCCAGGTATAGATAACAGCAGGACACCAGGTATACTCCAGGTATAAATAAGAGTAGGACTCTAGTTATACTCCAGATATAGATAACAGTAGGACTCCTGGTATACTCCATCCTCCCCCCCTCCTTCCCACAACTCATTTATTCCAGCATTGACCCAAGCGAACCCTATACAGTATACGCTGATTAGAAATTACGCTTTGCGTCGCGTAGAACCACTACACACTAAACTTCTTACTGCCTTGTAACATTCGGAATATCAACTATAAACACAGAAAAGAAAAAAAATTTAAAAAAAATCTTTAAGAATAAAAATAACAATTATTACAAAATGTGTAAACTTAAAAATTTTTTTTGAACATGATAGAAAGTACGAAGTTTACAAATGAAGCTACCTGCATTCCTTGTAAGGAAAACATAGAACCACTAGTTACAATATGAACGCTGAACCAAGCACGAGTGAAAATGTGATCGTGAAGAAATAAAGAACTATTTCAAGGAAATCAAATCAATCAAAGTTACGTGAAATTGAAAATAGACGATCATAAGTTAGATCAAAAGTTATTTTCTATTTTTGTTTATACCATCTTAATTATCACAATTGTCATTTATAAAACTAAAACATATAAAAAATTTCTACTAAATTTTTTTCCTTATTTATTCTAAACTATTCTTTATCATCTTATAGAAAAATTTCATCATTTATTTATCATTTTTTATATGTTCTTCTATATTTTTTATTGTTTTTACGATCCCTTCGATTAGTCCATTATAATTTTTTATTTTTTATCATCTCAAAAATATATTAGATCAATCATAACAATCATTAATTTTTAATAAAAATCTATTGATCACCACGAATTCACTTGAATCTCAACATAACATATGGAAAAAGTTCATTTTAGCGGTATTACTATTGGGACTTTATGACTTCGCAACTTTTCAAGATTTTTACCATTAAGAGTAAAAAAAACAGACTTTTGGTTCCATTAACATGGATTGTTAACATTTTTTGATAACTAGCTCTTCAGAGGTATTTGTGTTTGAAAATATGCCAGTGCGGTTGCAAACAAAATGTGAACTCTGAACTTTTGTTCAAAATGTCTTTTTTGTCATCGATCAAAGCTTCGTTGTCATTTTGATGTATATATATATGTATATATGTATATATGTATATATAAGGCGACTGCACGGAATTTATTTGACTATTTTTCTTCACTGATACTATCAATTTGTTTCTTTTCAAAATATACAACTTATACTCAATAATTAATTTATTATTTAATCAAAAACAATCCATCCTCATACACTTTGTATCGTGAACTTGCTCCAATCTTAGGTGAGGTTTGTTCTATATTTTCAAGACAACAGACTACAGTAGTGGTGTACCTTCAGTTACATTTTAAGGTCGTCATCACAGTTTCATCCTTTGTGAGTAAACCTGTAGATGAGATTTAATGTAAAGAAGGTTTGTTTTAAAATCATGATATTAAAATGAAAATAAAGTCGCTAATTATGACAAAATGACTAAACTAAGTTCGTCCATGAACTATAACACAGAGTGATTTACATCATATGAAATTTGATATAATTTTTTATTTAGTTCATTTAAAGGATATATCGGCCAAAAAAATTAAACGGGGTATATTTTTTAACTTTCAAACTAAAACTTCGCATGTTTCACATACAAACTTGTCTGATCCCTATATCTTTACAACCTGATTGTGTTGATATTTTAAACTTTTTTTTGATCTAACAGAATTCATAGTTTGTCATATCTAATGTTTAATTGGTTTTTAAAAATATAGGCAAAGACTCAATTACTTCCACGATACCTTGCAGAAAACCCAATAGTATATGATCAACCTACATTTCTGATAAGTTCTTAATTTATTGAGTGATTGATTGATTGATTGATTGATTGCTTGATTGATTGCCTGTAGTATGTTTATCTACCTGAGTAAGAAGATCGCTATCCCTAACTCCACCAAACTCAAGTGTGTAGGATGGAACAGGGAACAGGGATATATTGCTTGCGGAGGGGACGATGGTTTACTCAAGGTAGGATATAAAGCTTACAAAGGAGAGGATGGTTTACTCAAGGTAGGATATATAACTTGCAGAGAGGATTGTTTACTCAAGGTAGGATGCATAACTTTAATAGTTTGGGTCTTAGGGAGGGTAGAAAAGAAGGCCTAAGAAAGGGTAATAAAATTGAAAAAAAAATATTTTTTTTGTTTTAAAAAAATATCAAAGTGTGACACATGTTTCTAAATGCATTTTTCAAAGGCTTATCAAAAACATAGTTTTTAAGATCTTCAGCTTTAGTTACAAAAAAATATATAAATATAAAATATAAATAAAAATAAAAAAATATTTAACAAAAATCCTTCAAATTACTATTTATTAGAAGTCACAAAATTTCACGGTGATAGTGTTAAAAATGAGAGTGCTAGGACAACAAAAATACCGAGGGGCGCCATTGCCCTCCCCCCCCCCAGCTTGTTAGGATTAAACCTGGAGAGGTTTAGTTTAGAATAACCCTGATATTTCCATGTAGTTATTAAACCTGGAGAGGTTTAGTTTAGAATAATCCTGGTATCTCCATGTAGGTATCAAACCTGGAGAGGTTTAGTTTAGAATATTCCTTGTATATCCATGTAGATATTAAACCTGGAGAGGTTTAGTTTAGATTAATCTTGTATATCTATGTAGGTATTAAACCTGGAGAGCTTTAGTTTAGATTAATCTTGTATATCTATGTAGGTATTAAACCTGGAGAGGTTTAGTTTAGAATAATCCTTGTATATCTATGTAGGTATTAAAGCTAGAGAGTGGGAAGGATGGAAAAGTGAAGGGTTTAGCTGCTCCAAGCAATCTCTCAATGAACCAGACATTAGAGGGACACAATGGACAGATTCAGGTCAGGAAAAAACAAAGACAAAACCTCCCCCCCCCCGCCCTTCAAATTCGTGTATTGCAAAGCCCCCGTAGATTTGATATCTTCATTTCTACTCGACCTTTAAGAACCCCCTGGATAAGACGCCTAGGCTCTATCTGCTCATTTGAATATCTTTATACAGTATATTTCTGCAGGGCAATAAAATACTTATCATGAACCTATTCATTCATACACACTCCTTGATCCCCCTGACCCCCTAACCCCTCTTCTCCCCCACACCAACCCCCTTCCCCTCCCCCACCTGCACTCTCAATCTAATTAGCCAAAACTAATTACCATGATGAAGGTTATAAAATGGGCTCTTCTTTTGCTAAAACTTAAATCAAAATTTGTAATTCTATTTGAAAACACTCAATTCTAATTTTCTAGTAACATCTTTGCAACTTGAATATGTAAACCTAATCAAAACTTAGATGTTTGAAATATCAAAGGTTTACACCATCATGCCAACTGTAGTTTTGCATATTATACTATTGAGTATCTAGACATACCTTACAATTCCTTGCTACCCCTGTGCAGAGTATCATCAGTTCCTACCTACCTATCCATCACCCTACCTACCTACCTACCTACCTACATACCTATCTGTCTAACAAACCACCTACTTGCCTTCCGACCTATATCACATACTTATTAATCTTCCTACCTACATACCCATCAACCTACCTACCTAACTATTCATCTACCTACCTACCCTCCTACCTACGTACCTCCCTCTCCACCTACTTTACTCTCATTAAACTATGAAATTGAAATTAAATGCTCAAGGTTATGTAAAGGGTTTGTTATATAGGATCCAGCCTAGGATAACAGCAGGAGGGTTTATTCCTCTACCTAGGGGCGGACCAGATTTAAATCAGGGCGAAGTAAACAATTAAAACCTGGGCGGAATCAAAATGAAATAAAATGACATTGATTTTTAAAACAACAAAAAGACTATTGAAGACGTTTTTAAATGTTCTTTGATTGGGTTGAAATTTAAAAGAAAAGGTTTGAGAATATGTTGAGGGAAGTGTAGGGCGGAGAGGACGGAAGAGACGGGGCGTGGAAAGGCCGAAGTCGTGACTAGTGGTAGGATACATTGTATTTTTCACAATCTTACTCTTAGTGAAATACAGGATTTGAGTTCTGTGTTCTATCTACTCATCTCACGGTTTTATTCTTCAAGAATTCGCTGAGAAGGAATAGCATGGATATAAAGGGATGGAAGGGTTTGATGGGCAGACGTGATAGGAATGAAAGGGTTGGAAAGGAAGGGATGAAAAGTATGGATAGGAAGAGATGACAAGAATGGATATGAATGGAAGGGTTGGATAGACAGGGATGAAAAGTATGGATAGGAATGGAAGGGTTGGATAGGAAGAGATGAAAATTATGGATAGGAAGGCTTGAAAAGTATGGATAAGAATGGAAGGGTTAGATAGGAAGGGATGAAAAGTATGGAAAGAAAGGGATGACAAGAATGAATATGAATAGAAGGGTTGGATAGACAGGATGAAAAGTATGGATAGGAATGGAAGGGTTGGATAGGAAGAGATGAAAAGTATGGATAGGAGGGGTTGAAAAGGATGGATAGGAAGGAATGAAAAAGGTGGATAGGAAGGGATGAAAAGGAGGGATAGGAAGGGATATAAGTTTGGATAGGAAGGTATGAAAAAGATGGATAGGAAGGGATGAAAAGGAAGGAATGATATGGATGGAAGGTTTGGACAGGAAGGGATGGTAGAAATGGAAAGGGTTGGGAGGAATGGAATGATAAAGATTGAATGGTTGGAAGGGCTGGGAAGGAATGGGAAGGAATGGGAAGGGATGAAAAGGTGGGTGTAAAGAGGGTAGGTGGGGTATTGTTTGGTTTGAGTGGGGCGTTGGAGTAAGAGTGGGGAGTGTAGGGAAGAGTTGAGAGTATGGACAGGAGGGAATGATATTTCAAAAGTGGGAGGTTTATATTGTTGTACAGGGGGATCCGTAAAGCATAAGACTTTAGTGAGCTCCTGGGATCTGATCTAATGAATATTAGGAAGTATGTAGTTTTACCTTGTCTCAACTCAACTACTTTCGCTATATACATTTTTGATCAAATATAATATTTCTAATGTACAGGGTTACCCACAAATGATGAGATTTCAATGACGACTATAAAACTCTAATAATAAAATGTTCATGGAGATTTCAGATGTATAAGAAGGGGGTGTAAAATTAAGGATTGAGGGAAAAGAGGAGTATTCTGTACGCATGCTGCAACTGATTTAAGAATCGTTTTCCAATCCGTCAATGTAGTGAAACCTTGACCAAAGATATTATATCCGAGATATTGTCGTGAATTCATGATATTTGTTGGAATCTATCCTTGTATCTAGGTAAACTTTTATATAATGATGGACATCGTTTTTGAGAACGAAGGAAATATTTGAGAACAAAATTATTTTTCGTGAACGATGGTTTGGAAAAAACGATTAAAAATCGTTCGAACAAAGTTGAAAAACGATATTTTTTTGATTCCAGAACCAACACTTTCTACAAAATGGTCGTTTTTTAATAAACGAAAACTTTTATTGAACGAACAATTTCACTGAAAACGAAAGAAATAGATGGAAATGATGATAATTTTGAGAACGAACTAAATCAATTCTTTGACCGATTGAAAAAACAAACAAAAACACAATGTAAAAAAAGCCGAACGCGCCCATTTCTATATACTGTATATTTACAGCTGATGGATTAGGCTAAATCGGGAAATTTAAGACAGGAAAGTTATAGGCTAATGTCGTTTTAGGTGTCAACCAAAGCTATTATTATGTTTGTCTATTTGTCAAGTAGTCTATCTGTCTATTTGTCTTTTTGTCAAGTAGTCTATCTGTCTGTGTGTCTGCTAAAAATACTGCCTGTCTGCTAAATATGCTGCCTGTCTGTTTCTTTGTTTAATATGCTGCCTATTTGTCTATTAAATATGAAGTTTGTCTGTTTGATTAATTTGTAATCCCTCAATTACTCTCACGAGAATCAATGTAAACTTTGCCGCAGGACGGTTTAATTTCATCCTTGTTAGTAAATATAACCGCCATATTGGATATACATACTGGTCTCCGCCATATTGGATATACATACTGGTCTCCGCAATCTAGCTTATACTGATCTCTGTCATATTGTTTATACTGGTCTCCGCCATATTGGATATACATACTGGTCTCCGCAATCTTTTTTTATACTGATCTCTGCCATATTGTTTATACTGATCTCTACCATATTGTTTATTCTGATCTCTGCCATATTGTTTATACTGATCTCTACCATATTGTTTATTCTGATCTCCGCCATATTGTTTATTCTGGTCTCCGCCATATTGTTTATACTGATCTCTACCATATTGTTTATACTGGTCTCCACCATATTGTATATTCTGGTCTCCGACATATTGTTTATTCTGGTGTCCGCCATATTGTTTATTCTGATCTCCACCATATTGTTTATACTGGTCTCCGCCATATTGTTTATTCTGATCTCCACCATATTGTATATTCTGGTCTCCGCCATATTGTTTATACTGGGTCTCCGCCATATTGTTTATACAGATCTCCACCATATTTTTTATTATGATCTCCGCCATATTGAAAAACTTCTCTCACAAATAGATTTATAATAAATGTTTTTCTCCGCCGGGAGCAGCCTCTGTTCTGATTTAGCTCCATTACTGATTATCCTGGGAACCCCGGGGGATAAATTGTTCCAAAGTTTACTAATCTAAACTTTTCTTTTTTTAATCATTTTCATCCGTTTTCCTAAACTAAAAACAAACAAACTATACGCTTTGTTTCCCGTACACATATCGATGACAGCAGACGAATATAAGGATTTAATGTTTTTATTAGTTTGCAAATGGACTAAATACATGTTTAAACTTTTTTCTTCGGTATGCTTTCCAAATATATCTCTTTGTAAAGGAATTAAGTCTTTGACTCGAACTCTGATTTTCTTATTCTTATATCTTTGTAACCCAATATTCGAAGACCTTAGATATTTTAAACTGTGAATTCTATTGGATCAAATAATCAAAGTTTAAAATATCAAAGTTTTACATCATCAGGTTGCAAAGAAATAGGGATTCAAAATTTTTAATTCAAACTAAATTATCAAAAGGGGCACCAGCTTGTTGGATTTTCTAGTTCATGAATAATTGTTTCCCGTCGTTTGAAAAATTAAAACATTAAAAATTAAAATAATGGTGTTTTCATGGATTCTTAGTTAACCACAAACTGGAGCAGAGAGTGGTACAACGCAGTACTATTAAGGTCATAGTCATACCTAGAGATAAAGTGCAATTACTATATGCAACACAAAGATATACAATTTGAGATTTTGTCCCCTCTCCCCCTCCTCCCTTACATCAATGTCTCAATGTCAATAAATAAACTCTTTTAAACAAAATATTAGAAATTTTATTTTTTATTCCTCTTCATAATATCATGATTAGGCCGAGGGACAAGAAGCCTTGATTTTAAATAATGAATTTTTTCCTTAAGCTAAAGTACCATTCATTTATTTTTTATTTATATTGTATATGTAAACTGAAAAGTTTCAGACACTAAAATGTAACCCTTAAAAGCTTAATTAAATACACTTGTTAAGAAGGTTAGTCTTTATAGCGTACATTGACAATGTAATAAAGAAAATCATATACCACCGTAAAAACAAACCAAGCATTGCTTTTAAAAAAAAAACTAAAAAAATTTTCGCCGGCGTCGCGCTTCTTTGCACCCTGGTTACGGGCCTGAAAAAAATAGAGTGAAAGAAAGAAAGAGAAACCTTCATGAGAAACCCTGTTTATAAATGAGATGAGATATATTAAGATACGAATCTGGAATACAAAATGTGCATACTGCATAATATATTTTGTGACTAAACATCAGAAACCTTTTCTTCAGTTAATATTAACAAGGTTTCTAAATAAGAAATTAAATATTTTT